ATCCTAGGATTCAACGTCCGCACCAGCCTAAACCAACCTGGAAGTTCGTTGTAAGATGCATCCCATTCGCCATAAAGTTTGACAATGACATTTTATTTTTCCATCCAAGCTTTTTTATAGGAGACAGTGTACCCATACTGCGATTTTATAGCTGAAATCAACACTGCAACAGCTATATGAGAGCTTGCTTTTACCATGAGCATGATGACTTGTCATATCATTTCAGAGTCCAAGTTGGGATGATTTTGGTTGACCCCTCCAGCACAACATGTGTGAGGACCGTTGTATACTGTTAGTTCTCAAATATTGTTTTTCCTCTTTATTTTCGATACGCGAACCATCCAATTGCATCCATTTTCGCTTCGGGCACAGTAGCATACATATTTTTCGGTCGTCGATCGGTTGACTCTAGACTGAACAGAATTACGGATATTGTAATTTTTGATAACCATCATCGCTTCTTCTTTGCTTGAAAACTCCATGCCTAAAGATAACTCACCATTATTTATTGATGAGTATATACATAGTCACCAAGATGAGGCATATCCGTAAATTCTGGCCCGTACATTGCACCATAATCAGCTTCATACATGTGTGCAGGAGGGTCAGTTTGTGTCACATTTCCTGGAACTTCATCTACATCATCATCATCATAGTTGAATTGTGGTGATTTTGGGTGAATGAATAGTCCGGTCTCAGCACCATCCGTACTAGGCTCACGAAACGGTTTTTCTGGTTGAGATGATGGTTCCTCCATGCGCTCCACATTTAGGTCGAAGAACCTACTACTTGCATGTCTTCCCCTTGAACTAGAAGGCATATCGACATTGAGATTGAAAAAGCTCGCAGTCGAATGCCTCCCACTAGAGCTTGAAATCATCGTGTCAAATGGAAAATGCACAGATTGTTGCGTCGATGACATCTCCATATTAAGGTCAAAGAAATTTGCAGATGAATGTCTTCCCCTTGAACTGGATGCGGTGTTGCCATACGGATTATTCGTGGACCCACCTCGGTACATATCGTAAGGAGTTGCGGATGAATGTCTCCCCATTATGGCATTAAAATCATTACACATTACTGTAGTCGGGCTGTCAACTTGATCAACTTATTCAGCCAGCCCATAGTGGGAGCTTAATGATTGACCCCGAACAGTACACACTTGAACAAAATGTGCATACATCTCAATAGCGGCGTCTGAATAATTACTTTGAGCTTCAACCATCATTTGAACATCATCATTGTTCGAAAGTTCGAATGTTGTATAAGTTAATGACAACAATGATGTTGGAAATCTGTACTGCAACGACGACATTCTTCTACTATTTCTAACATGAATCTTCCTCGAAATCTTCGTTATCAGCTCCTCAAGAGTTATGTATCTCTTGAATGATATTTTAACACGCTCATTTGATACGAAAATAACGTCGGTTTCATCTTCTCGAATTTCACCATCATAATAAACAATAGCTGAAAGTCACGTCATTCTTTGAGTTTAAAAGTGTGACAATATTATATCTGCAAAAAAAATAACTGAAACAAACATGATTAAATAAATTATATATGAACGAAAATATAACACAATAAATTTTTTTCACATCAATGTAAATAATGTAAATAATATAATTTTATATTATTACCTGCACCGCAAAACTATTTCGACGTATGCTCCCACTTTTCAATTTTACAAAATAAAAATTAATTGAAAATAATTAGTATAATATTTTTTTAAATAATGATAATAAACAATAAGTATAATTAAAAAATTATAACAAAATTACCTTATAACGAAAAATCGCACGAACTTCTAAATCAAATATGAGAAGATTGCCAGAATTATTACTCGTTGACGGAATTGTTGTATTAATTTATAAGTTGAGAGGAGAGATGCGACGAACTTAACCGGCGGAGGAGGGTATTTATAACTATATAAGGCACAGTACATGCACCGCGCTATATGTAATTATTCAGATAAAAGATATAGCGCGGACCAGAGACCGCGTTAAATATAATTCACCCCTACGTGGCGTATAGCGCGGCCCCTGATCCGCGCTATACCCCTACGTGGCGTATAGCGCGGATCAGAGGGCGTGCTATACACACGTGTAACCCATGTCAGCGTATAGCGCGGTACAGGGGGCGCGCTATACCTCACGTGACGCCAAATCAACATATAACGCGATTCAGGAGGCGCGCTTTACTGCTACGGGTGTTAAATCAAAAAATATAATCTGACCGGTATTAAATCAGTAAATATACCGATCACCGATAATGTTTAGAGAAATACACCTTTTTAGTGTTGGAAATCAGCTCAAAATCTTGAATCATAGAATAATAAACAAAGCAAACATTATCTTAGCGATTCAAAGGCTGAAGAGGCAGTCAAAAAAGGATTGGATTCTCCAGGGTTTATTACGCATATATACCATTTTCTTAATTATTTATAAAATAACGACATTCAATCTTTTTCTAAAAAGGCACGGTGACCACATTTTTACATATTTTATATTCAAAAAAAATATATTCAAATTTTATTAATATGTACTCATTGAATATAATATTCATATTTATATATTATGATCGTTGTTGTTTGATTCAATTTATGTTTGTATTAATATTAACACATATTTTTTTAAAGATATAATATATTTTTTATTTAATTTAATATTTTGATATATCTTTTCAATAATACCTACACAAAAACACGTTGTAAAAATTAATTTTCTAATAACTTTTTACAAATATTTTTCATAATATATATATATATATATATACATACACGCGTAATAAAACTAATCCCTTGAGTCATGAACCATAATAATATTAAAAAATAGAGAGAGAAAAATATTTGAATATGACTATGACTATGACCACTTATGCAATAAGATAGTGGATGGGAAAGGAGGGAAATGTGCAAAAAGAGGTGCCTCGCATTCTTGTGGAGATGATGAGCCAATTTACAGTTGTGTATATATTAAAGTTTACAGTCATTGAAAAAAGAAAAAAAATGCAAAATCCACGGCAGCATTAACGGTGTGTGGGCACATAAAAGGCAGATTCTACGTGTCTCTTGAAGTTAGCTTTGTTCATTTGGGGGCCATTTCGGGAGATTCAGAACTAGTGGTCCTAACTAATTATGATTTTCCATATTCAACGAATATATATAGAATAATTATTTGGTGTATTATTAGTAGAAAAAATGATTTATTTCTAAAATATGATAAGTATTTTATTATATATATATATGAGATTTTAATAATAATACCGTGACATGTCATCAATAATTCTCAATAATTCTTTTGAAAATTTATTTAATTTACGAAAATTAAGATTAACTCTAAAAACATTAATAATAAAACAACTAATAACATCAAGTCTCAAACAACATATAATTATATTATACAATCTTAAAAATATCATAAACATGATATTAATGAAAAATAAAGTAATACTAAACTATTTTTTTAATTATTTAATTAACATACAAATAAAAGTATTTAATAATTATATAATTTAAATAATTATTTATTTATTCATACAAACAAAATCTATTATTTAAGAGATAATATGATTTGAATAAATCAAAATTATATAATACTTAAAAAATTGATGAGTATAGTATCACCACAAATTTAATAAAATGTCACTGCTGATAAAAGATTATTATATAAAGAATCTTATCGAGTTAAATGTGGAATTTATTTTTTTAAAAAGTTACTTTAATAAAAAAATTATGAACCAAATACACTCGCGTTATATATATATGTTGTATGTTTTTTTTAAGTAAAAGATTAAAAAATTCATTCAAAAAAGTTAATGCGGAATATATATATACACACGCGAGATCTAAGTAATCTTTAGAAATTAACAGTAAAAATTATAATATATATTAATTGAAAAATTAGTTAATATCAACTATTTATTTTTATTTATCTAACGATATTAAATCTATGTAAAGTTAAAATAGTTTTTACACAATGTTGTTAGGGACGGACCTATGACCCAAATCCGACGGATTCTGATTCGATCCGACCTGATCGGGTTGGATTTAAAAAAAAATTGAATTTGGGTCGAGTTTGAATTTAGGATGAAAATATCTGAACCGACCGGTCTTGAGAAAAATATATAATTTAACCTTTATATTCAAAGATAATTACAATAATGCCCCCTATATGTATTGTTTTCAATTAAATCTCTATTTTTATTGAATATAAATAATATTTTTAATAAATATAATATTTCGGGTCAGGTCGAATCAGATTCGGATTTTATCTCAAAAAATTCGATTGAATTCAGATGAAAGATATATAATTTTTTAATCGAGTCGAATTTGACCGGAAATCTGATCCGACCCGATTCATGCCCATTCCTAAGAGTAAGTGTATATTAATCCTGTATATATACACGTAAATGTGAAGAATCTTTTTGAATTTGATAAAGTTTCTCTCTTGTTTACTAAATTGTCATTAATATAATATTATCAAATTAATTTTAAAATAATATTTTTATTATTAAATTTTAAAACATTTTAAAATTATCAAAGCTTGAACTACATTATGAATGCATGTTGCAGTTTTACTGTAATTTAAATTATTAAGTGTTCAACTATACTTATATCAATATTTTAATTAAGTACCAAGAAAATTAAGATTTAATACTATAAAATATCAATTTAAATTATTTTTATTTTTATAGTTAGATTTAAATATTTTAAAATAAATAAATAATATTTTTATAATTATTTAATTTGTGAGATTGGAGGTGTTTCTCGGCCCCTAAATATTTTATCCAGAAGGCCGAATAAAAATCCAAGATCCAAGTTCAAACAGGCCAGTTGGCTCAATAATTAGAAAATAAATTAAACATAAAAGATGAAACTTCTAATACTGCCACGTTCAAACAGGCCGTTGGAATTTTCTTATAGTGCCACGTCATTATCATATTTTCGGTGAAAACCGTCTAAAATCCTAAAAATAAAAACAAGATGATCGGCGATTTCGCTTCAGTCTTCTATTCTTCTTCCTCAAAGCTCAGTTAATTTTACTTTCTCGAAATAAATAAAATTTTAAAACCCTAGATACTTCTCAGAAATAATGGGGAACTGGTTCCACAAAGAACCGCCGCCGCCTGTGGTTCTTGTCCCTCCTCTCTTCGAGTTCCCTCCTCTAGCTGCCCGTACAAGGTTTAGTTCAATCTCCCGCTCTCTATTTATATATTTTTTAATTTATTTGCATATTTCTTTTTTTTTTTGGTTATTTTAAAGAAAATTTGGATTTGTTTGATTGCAGGATGTTGGAAACCTCCTACAATATGTTGTTTGGGAAGCTAGCTTTGAAATGCTTATTCGAAGATTATTTTGAAGAAGCTAGACATTTTAATACTATTATTATGTTGAAACCGATAGATGATCCTCATGTTGATTTAATGGCCACCGTATCCTTTTATTTTTCCGAGTTGAGAGAGAGAGAGAATTAAGAATTGATGATTGGGATAAGAAGCATTTTTTTTTAATTTCTTAACATGATTAGCTTTCAGGCCCAGTTGATCATAAACCTGATGAAAGAATTGTTGGAAATGCGTTATTTCGTTGGCAAAAGTATGTTGAAACTTCATTTTCTTTGACAAAATCCTTATTAATATTCTCCAATTGCTTCTCTTATGTGATGCAGTAATGAATTGTGGACAAATGTGTTTTAAATAATGTTATTTTTATATCAACAGTGACTTGGATGATCCTCATACATTCATGGACCTTTTTGTATCAAACTCTGATCCGTAAGGCTTTCTAGTTTGAATTACAATGTTTTGCTTTCTTTCTGCATTCCATCTGGTTTTTGCATAATTCATGGTTAGCTTTCACGTCAGTGTTTTGCAGATGAGGTCTTGTGCTTACTTTCCTACATATGGTTTTGGGGCATTTGGCATTTTGCCGTTGTTATTTAAAAAAAGGTAAGTCATATTTGTAAGTTAACCTTCGTGGTATTTTCAGCTACTTTGTTTGTCACGTTGATTCTTCTGATGAAATCATGAAACCGATAGAGTAACTGCTGAAGATTACGGTGTCATGGGATTGAGATATGGATCCGAAAGGTTATCAGCCGGAGTCACAGTTATGCCATTTGCCAGTATGTGTTTTGAATTCATTCTAATAACTACCAAGTTCCTACTTAATTTGGAATGTAATTATCGGTCAAGGTTCTGTATCACTTTATGCTTTGAGTTCCTTCACAAAGAACATCAATGAGACTATATATGTAAGGGGAAAAAGAACACTATATTTCAAAATTTTATATCCTCTGCAGTTAAAGATCAATTGCCAAGGAGTGCATGGCTCGTAAGCAAGTTGGGAAGGTTGACTTTTGGGGTTCAATACAAGCCACAATGTAAGTTTGCTCATTATCATATTCATTTTTCAAAGTTCAGAGCTTAGGACATAAAACTTATGGTGCACTGCTAAATTACTTATTGAATTTGAGAACTTGTGTGCATATATGTTGTTTTGATGAACTATAACAAATGTATATTAAGTTATCTTTGTCATAACTAGTTTTCACATGAAAAGGAGTTCAAACAGATAAAAGGAGCAGAAGTAATGATAAATAGATTTTTTGTTAGATGTAAGATCACTTATTAGGAAGGTTAAATAGGGAAGCAAGTTCTTTTCACTTTTACTGACAAAATCTGGACATCACCCATTAGTATCTACTGTTCTTTGCAGTCATGAGAACTTGGGAGGATTAAATATGCCTTTTACACGACAAAGCTGCAAGTTTTTGCTGTTGTTTATGAGAATGCTTTAACAAACGTGTTTGTTCCATTCTCTAACCATGGGAATTGGAGATCATAATTTTTAAGGGTAGCTAAACTAGAATATTCCTTACATTGAAGAGTACACCCCCTGTAATTATTTTGTGGGTTTTCTCTGTAGAGTATAACTTATTAAAGTGTTTCAATTATGGTGTTCCTTGAATGTCAGCATGTGTTGCTATCTGTCACATAATTAATGTGTGATTATATTATAGATGAAACTAAGTGTGACTTTTTATGCTTTCAGATGGAAGCAAAGATGAGATGAAATATAAAAATATGTTGAACTGGAGCTGTGCAGTTGGTTATGGAATAGGATCGGGCAGTCTCTTGAGTCCATCATTTAATTTTGGCCTTGAACTTGCCAACAGTTCTCAGGTTTGTTCACGGTTTGATACCCTGACAAATGTATAAAAATTGACAAAAGCATAAAAATTGACAAAAGCTTCATTCCTCGGAACTTTTAGATCATTATTTAGGGTGGATGAATTTTTATCTTTCATTCATGACTTGAGTTGTATTTTTAGCTAGATTTTTTTTTTTCAATTTTTAAAGCAAAGCTTTTGAATTGTCCAGTCACTTATTTAGTCGTATTACTGGAACTTAAAGTTTCATTGTAAAACTGTTTGATCAATAACGATACTGGTTTTTAAATCTTCTTGCATGCAGTTAATGGTGTTTCTTTAATCCCCTTTTCAAGTGCATATATAGTTGATGCCTTCTGTTTTCAACTTTTATTTTGTACTGATATTTTTATTTTATAATCATCAACTGCAGTTCATTGCATCATTCTATCAACATGCGGTGGTCCAAAGAAGGGTATGTTTTTACAAGTCTGTGTTTTCCAATATATTAAATGGACCTTTACTCTAAATTATCCAGTTGTATTTATCTTTTTTCGTTGAATTATCTTCTTTCCAACTGAAATTTCGAATGAAATTAATTTTTTTATTCTTCTAAGTTGAAACCTTGTTTGCATTCTGCAAAACATGCATTCCAGCCACTGTTTGGAAGGTTCACAGCTTACATAAATTGTGGTCTTATTATTTTTGTGAGCATAGGAATCTTAGTTGGGATCCAAATTTTGAATTTAAAGGCTTTATACTAAACTATATGCCTTTGATAGAAAATTATCTACATGAGAAGAAAGACTTGTTCAAATCTGTTGATGTGCCAATTTTGATTCATAAAAGATCTATTGGAGTTCAATCTGCATGCGTGCTCTATCTGTTATATGATTTTCACATTGTTTTTATTTTTTGACACCAGTTTGCGACATGATACTGACAAAGTGATTCTATGGAACAGGTGAAGAATCCCTTTGAAGAAAGTGAAATAGTTGGAATAACAAATTACATCGACTTCGGATTTGAATTATGCACAAGGTATTCCAATCAAGGAAGTTAACCTCTGATTAATACACTGAATATCTGACTTGGTAAACATTTTTGAAGGATGGATGACACTAAAACATCAAACACCATTCCTGATTCCACCTTTCAATTAGCTGCATCTTGGCAAGCCAATAAAAACTTCTTGCTGAAGGTAAAATTTGTCTTGCGATCCTGTTGTACCTACTGTGCATAGCCAACAGACATCTGCTTGCTTTTTTGCAGGGAAAGTTGGGACATATCAGCTCATCACTAGCTTTGGCAGTGAAGTCATGGTGGAAACCTTCGTTCACTTTCAGTGTTTCCGGTATGCCTTTTTATTTGCCAGAACTCGATATTTATTACCACTATGGGTAATAACGGTTTGGTTTATATCAATTTGAAAAATATTAAAAACCAAACTAATTAGCAAAGGTAATCGAACCGATCCAAACCAAATCCATCTGCTTGGGACATCTCAGCTCATCACTAGCTTTGGCAGTGAAGTCATGGTGGAAACCTTCGTTCACTTTCAGTGTTTCCGGTATGCCTTTTTATTTGCCAGAACTCGATATTTATTACCACTATGGGTAATAACGGTTTGGTTTATATCAATTTGAAAAATATTAAAAACCAAACTAATTAGCAAAGGTAATCGAACCGATCCAAACCAAATCCATCTGCTTGGTTCATCGTTTTCTAAAGTTTTAAAAATTAACTTTTTATATGGTATATTAAATTTATTTTCATTAATATTTAATATAAAATATTTGTTTTAATAAAAACTAATTATAAATTAAATTAAAAGGAAGCTTGGTTCGGCTTGAATGATTGTGATTATTAACATGTAAACTGAAAACCGAACTAAATCAAATCGAATGCACTAAGAGATAAATGATAACCAATCCCACTTTAATAAAAACAAACCTAACCCTACAGTTTGAGTTTGTTTTCTCAAGTCTTTTGTTCAGCCCTATTACATGCTGTTTAGCACTCGCGTATTTATATGATTTCTAGCAACTAGAGACTGTGTTTCTGGAACTACTGCTTACGGTTTTGGCCTCCGTGTAGACAACTTACGAGAAGCCAGGTTCATTTTTTTCTTTCCTTTGTTGAATTAAGTGTACTACCTTGATATATGTGTATGAGAAAAGGCTTCTCAGTGATCTTTATGCGTGTAATGAATACTAGCATGTCTCTTAAGTAATGATATATCTTTCTCTCTTATTTTCAGCTATCAAAGAGCTGATCCAAATTATGTAATGCTGACGCCAAACAAGGAGCACCTAGCGGAGGGCACTGTTTGGAAGATTGGAAACAGACCAATGCTAGAGTCGGATGTAAATGCAGGAAATTTCGATCAGTTGCCAAAGGAATTGAGACCCCAAGGAAGAATTTTGTAGATTCTACTTCTGCTATAGTCAATTCTCAAGTAGGGTATTACACTTATTTCCTTCTCTCTACTTAAAATCGTTTTGGGAGTTGATCATTACTAAGATTAAATTCCAGGACCTCTTTGAAAAACGGAAAATTTAAAAAAAAAAAAAGAACGCAACGTGGGGAAATCTTTTTTTCCTGCAGTTGTCTGTGTTAACAAGATTAGGTAGATTCAGAACACACCGTTCATCTTGTTATGTATAGAGGCGATTCATGTTGATGGTTGGGCAAACCTTTTTAATTATGCTGATTGGCTTATTCCCGATGAGCAAGAACTCTATTTTGATTAGGCCCTTTTGTGTGTGTTTGTTTATATGTAATAACAACGGTTGGTGCCTATTAGAGATCAGGTTTGGTTTCAGACATTTCAGGTCATAAAACTTGGATCTTTCGGATTAGTTCTTATTTGAATAATTTGGAGTTCAAGTCATTCTAGAATTAACGAGTCTAATCATTTCAAGTCGAATGCAATTAAGCCCTTGTTTGATGCATTTTTGGAAGTTACCTTTATCATATCTTTCAAGTACATAAAAAAAAGCTCTGAAAAAAAAAGTCTAATCATTTCAAAGGGGATTTCACAGATCGAAGAAGCTGCTGCGATAATCTCCGTTATAACAGTAGTAGTTCCCAGAGAAAGAAGCATAGTACATAGTCGTGAAAAAAGAGTTGCAGAAGTGAAGGAAGAAATTAAGCAGTTGGTCATACTGAGAGAGATGATTCAAACTTATAATCGAGAGTCCAGAGATCAAAAGTTCCTTCAACGAAATCGTAGTAACCGCCTCTTAGCGTTAGAGTTCCGTTCGCCAGTCCCGCTCTCACAAATGGGTAAGACAGCAAGTTCCCTATTGACACATCCACTGCTTCCTGCACGTACAACAAAAAAATTATGGAACTAGTCATCAATAAAAATGTCTAAATTACCAACATTGTCAGTCCAACCAAATAAATTCCGGTGTCTCATTATTTATTTCTTATTATTTTGTAATCTGTTAGAATAATTATTTCCAGATATTTTAAGGTATTTTACCTTCTCACAAAACTCGCATTGAAATCTCTCAGGCTCCCCGCCGTGTCGTGCTATAACCTTCGTCCTTGCGGGCATTCCAATCTTAACCCAGTCTTCGATGAAATCGCTGCATTCATCCCAATCATAATTTCACTTCAATTTCAGTTAATCAATTAATTCTACCTTTTTTTGGAGCTTTATAATGCAAGATTAACGTTTAGTCGTAAAACCAATTATTAATTAAGGCCTTACGTTGAAGTGGTTCCATCGTATGGGAACGACATCAGCCCCTTGATCCCACCGCAGGCACTGTGTCCGATTATTATAATTTCTTCGACCTGCAAACAGATGAAATCGACTCGTGTCTGATAGCTGTTTCTAACTCATTTGGACACGACTCTTTAAAATTGAATATAAACGTATGAGATATATACATACATGTATAAGAAATACATAATTTTAACCTCAAGGAGTACGAAACTTGCACCTAAATTTAGATAATATACGTTTAAAAAATTATTCACCTTGAGGTGCAAAACTGCGTATTCTATAGCAGATCCGGTTCCAGCGTATTTAGTCTGTCATAACATAGATCATGAGTTAGCAACAGGATTTACAAAAGATAATTATAACGGCCACAGCGTGATATTACATATGCTAGTTTATAATTTCAATGCATATAAAAATCAAACTCTACAATTCGATTCAATTGAATCATATATTGAGCAGTTCAACTACATACCCCCAATAGACAAATTAGAGATCCAATTGAAAATGAACAAAAATCAAGAATAAAAGTAGTTAAAATCCGAGATATTTGAATTATTCGGTTTAACTGGATGAAACGAAAATTGAATGTTTAATCGTCTTAACTTTCTATTTGATTTTGATGTCTTTTTTTATCAATATTTTATCGCAGTAATATGAATTTGTTTGCAACTGCAATACCGAAACTCGTAGAAATAAAAATGAAAATGCATATTAGCAATGGACCTGATCAAATGGTGGCACCATATTAGCAACATTGCGGACAACGAAAGCTTCACCTGGTTGCATGTCTAGAACATGGGATGGACAGACCCTGGAGTCGGAGCAGGCAACAATCATATACTGCATTCATCCATTCGTTCCAACATTTAATAACTGAGCCCCCAGATCTATATTAAGTTGAAAATCATAATATATTCATATTTACCTTTGGGCTTTGACCCCTGGCAAGCTCACCATACAAAGCGGGATTCTTTCTGCAAAGGAATTGAAAATTTCTTTTAAAGAGACGAGCTTGAAAGTAGGAGAAGAAATCAGAGTTGGGTATGATCGAGATATGTAAAATTGTCAATACCTTCAGCAGTTCAGCTCGATTTCCATATTTGAAATTCGATGTAAGATATTAATCAAATTGATTGTTTGCCGAATAGAAAATGAGTTTAATGAATTCTAGTTTAAGTTCCAAAAAGCTCTTTTAATACTAATTAGTATTAATTGAAAAAGATTTGAATATTCACATTAATTAAGTCTAACATTAAAATACTTGAGTTTATCTTACTCGGTAATCAGAAGTGGCTGATCTTGACTCACTAAACATTAAGCCTAATTCAAGTTTTTTTTAATGAAATCTAAATAAAGTGATTTATTTACACTCTTATGTTGGGATTCAAACCAAGGACTATGTATCGTTAAAGCAATTGCATGAACGAACTGGAAATCATATTTGACAAAGAGAAAGGAAAATAAGGGCAGTAACTGACTCGTATTTTTCAGTCTTGAAGTAAATGAATCCCTCTTTTATGCGCTCAACAGAAGAATCAGATGGCACCGCATTATCCGATGATGTCGCCTTCATCTCGTATGTCTTGTTTCCCATCTCTTTTCTCTGCAACCAACTCAATATAATCCCAACAATTTTTCAAACTTTTACTAGCTGGAACCGGGGGGAAATGGATCGAATTATATATTATTTGAATTTTTTAATTATATTTAATAATTAATTAAACGTTTATATTACTAAATATACTGATAAGTGATAATTTGTTAACACATTTTTAAATTAAGAAAAAATGGTTTTGGTCATTGAAAATCAAAATGATATTCAATTTAGGGTGACAATGAAGTAGAACGATTACGAATGTTTTGTTAAATTCGTTACTTCTCCACCACACTTATCCACAACTAAGATAAAATTAGAGATAATTGTCTAACTTTTTTTTTAAAATGACAAAAATCTAAAATGTATTTAAACAAAAATAAATGGAGTTAAGAATTCAATTTTTTTAGTTTCTGATTTTACAGGGACGTTATATGTATTCTAAAAAGGGCTAGGACTTAAATGACTATTCTCAAAATTGATTGAGGCTTAAAAACTAATTAAACCAGGAAGATTAGTGGTATGACTTAACTTGATTACTCTAAAATGTAAAAGGGCCTAAAAACTAATTGAACAAAAATATTAGAAATCATTCTTTTGTAATTTATTTATAATATTTTCATCTTTTAGAAGACAAATAAATATATTCTTCAAAACAAAAATAAAACATCTTTCATAGTTGTTCAGACATAAGATAAAAGCGTAAAAGAATTTAATTTTTTTCATATAACACAAGCTTACATTTTTATCCTTTTAATAATAATTATTATATATAGTTTTAATAATAATAATTTTGTAATTAGACATGATCAATAATTTACTGATAATATATATAATTCATGCACAATGAAACCAACTCGTTCATTCAAAATTCTCGATATTATTCTAAAATAATAATAACAAATCTCAATATTCATATTTTGGTCACTATATATATATATATATATATATGAATAAAATAGGAATCTGTATGGAGCACACGTCACACATACTTGAAAAAAATGTATGAAGAGAGAAAGGATACCCATTGGAATGGTTGAGCAAATGAGCAGGAGCTGCAAAACAGGTGATCGGATGAGGGTAGGAGGAGACGTGGAAGAGTCGAGGGTAGAAGTTATGGAGGCCCGTCGCAATGTGGGTTGCCGGACACTATTATAAGGTTGAGCAAGAGAGGTGGCGGTGGATGAGGTGAGGCAGCAGCCGTGGATGGAAGCCGTGGCCATTGTTTCCGTTGAGGATCATTTCTTACATAAAAGTTACTGGTTTTATATATCCTATTTTATCATCAAACAATTACTCATCGGGCATAATCATGAAAGCGAAAGCCGAGTGACTGAGAGCTTCTACCTTTGTAGATGAGGTTTGAACGTTAGAGATAATTTCTCTTTTCTCCCATGGATTCAAACCCACACAATCCTCTCTCTCTCTCTCACACCATCACCTCACTAAAAATATCGACTTTTTTTATTTGATTTTATTTTTTGTGATGTATACACACTGTCGGTATATTAGACCCTAAAAGAAGTAATAAATGGTGTTTGAAGATGGGGCAATGAAGTTGAAACAAAACTACCAAGGATCAGATAATCTTTACAATGAAAAATCAGTGGTGTAGGAGGAAGGGACATGGTGGGTGAATAAATATAGTGATGGGTAGAGTCTTCATGGAGATAAGACCCTATCTTTAAAAACATGGTCGATGCCTCGGCTCATCTGCCTGCTACTCATTGTGTCTAAGCTCCACATGTTTCACTGTCCCTACTCCAATGGGGTCTCACTAATTCTTTTTCCTTGCTCTAAATCAATCGTGATGTGTGAAAGAAGATAAAATAGTTAGGACATTATCCCCTTGGTATACCATTAAGAAGATAAAGTAATTTAATGATTCATCTACAAAATACTAAGTTGCTACGAATTTCACCATTGAAGTTTTATTTGTAAAGTGACAAATTAATAATCTGATCATTTCGGGCTTGCCAAATTCCTGGTAGGATAATTTATTGATCGTCTAATGTGATGCCCAATAATCAAAAATAGAGGCAGACCTCATAAAGAAACAACTCACTTTTGTTACATCGTTGTGGGTTGCCTCGCTAAACAAGTAGAGCTTTTCCAGACACTTATACTTCGCAATTCTACCCAAGGAGTCCACCGAGGGTGGCTTCACCCATCTCCCACTGAAAAAACCACCATTAGAGAACCGCAACAAAAAAATTTCCTAGTTGGATACTTGAAGGGGCAACAGTGTCAATACATAACTTCCTTACCTAGAAAAACGATGATCTTTTATTGTTAGAAAGTGTTCTTATATGTGTCATATGGTGTTCGTAATAATGTCAACAGGATAAAGTAATGAAAAGATTAGCCTAACATCTTTGTTGTCACCTTTACATATGTTTGAAACACAAATGACGGAGATTAATGTGGTTAGACTTCGAAATACATGCTTACCTCTTGTCACGTACCTTGGAATGTTGTCATGTTTTTGTCACTCCATTGGGGCCCATTGGAGACTATGAGCCAAAGAACAAAATGTTCCACTCCAAGTTGGTTTGGTTCTTTTTAAACCCAGAGTTTTTTTTAATACCATTAAATAAGACTTGAATGCTTTAGAACAGTTGTTAAAATTCAAAACAATAAAAATCTAGGAAGCAATTAGCTTGTGTAAAATGGACCGTATTTACATACTGATCGAGCAAACATCACCCAGACATTTAACAGATACTTTTACTACATATTTATATCTATATGATAAACCCTTGCACACGCTACTAAGAGTAGAAATTAAGCTTTCTATTCACAAAGAGACCAATTAAAGTAATACAAACAAAATTCAGCCCGTAAGAATTACATTGGACAGGTCTCTTCGTACCGAAGGGCAAAGACTATTTTGTGCAAGGAATCCGCATATGCTAATGTATTTGAGTCTCAAGGAGATAACAAACCAAATATTACTTGGTGGAATTGTAGTGACCAAAACTACTTGGGGACTAATCTGATCGGACAGACAGAGATGCAACGCAACGAGCTGCCTTCGCCAGCATGAACCGTTCATTCTCTGTCAAGGGCCTCTCTATCACCTTTATAAGATTGGCATCCTAAGACATCAACAATCAAATAATAGTGAGCTGCAATATTAACATTCTCCCCCCTCCCCCAAAGTTACTGGTAAATGTTAACAGAGGGTAACCAACCTTCTGTTGTGGTTGAATTAAGGGCCTCACACTAGCGGTGTCACCAATCATAATAACATTGTTAATGTTCCCCCTGTCATCCCTTTCAGTGGTGAAGACGTTGAATGTCGCCAGTTTCCCATTAATAATATATTTGTATAATATCTGAAGATAGTCGACATTAACATGTGAGAGAAAACTTATTGTACAAGGGACACCTCAGTTTTAATTGGAAAATATCATGTTACCGACTGCATCATGTTTGGAAGATTTGGAGAATTCTTTAACCTGTGTATTTAGTTTAACAATGAAAATATTTTTTTGTAGATAACCAACCATATAGATCTGGCATTCACCAGGTAGTAACAATCTTTCAAATAAAGTGGGGAGAGTTTGAAAACTAAGGAGCACTTAGGAAAACAGTTATAAGACGAACACCACTTACTTTCCTTGAGGAAGTCTAATTTCAACTTCATATCTAGCTCCACCTTTATGGGTTGCCTTAATCGGTTCTTCCAATTTTCCTGTAAAATCTCCAACTAGACTGACTCCTCTGCCTGTACGACAAAGACAAGAACAACCAAATAAGCTTCACAAAGACCAGTCGTCATCGATGCACTCAACTTTAGTAACAACAATGCATTAAATTCCTGGATGCATCTGAATTATGATTACATTATAGATTAAGTCCTACATTTAGTTGGAATTTGGAAAGCCTTTGGGATTGCAAAAATGCGAGTAGAAGATCATGCCATTATGGCCTATAGGATGAGGGATTCACCAACCTTACCCTTCAAAAAGAAAAACTATTTTTCCTGTTTCTTCCTTGTGTGCACTGGCCCCATGCAAAAATAATAAGACAGGCTTAAACAAATTACCTCATTATGGCCATTCCATACAAAGTCAAAGCATGTGTTGCAGGTCCATCGTGTCTTCCACCTTCTACCATAGCTATAAGATCCCATGTTGCCCAAGCAATTGCAGGCCTATATTTAGTTCAAATAATTTGTTTTACAAATTCTTGCAAATATAAAATGCACCAAAAGTCAGTGAAGGATGTGCGTAACTTTTATTTCCCCAAAGGTGTATCAGTAATTACATAAACCCCAAAGGAGCCAAAAACTTCATTTTCTGACTGAAATTTTTATCACCTTACTCCATAGCTAATAAGTTTTTCTTTCTTCTTTTGGAAGTATCTATCCCCATCTTGGACAGAAAAGATAGAGAAATGCATTGACCCCATCAAATAAGAAATCTAAAACCAAGAAACTGATTGCCGAAGCAAGGTGATATCTTATGCTAAACAATAAACTACTTCATTAATATGTATCATATATGACATGAGAACCTATGTAGCATTTATGCATGGTACTGAAAAAAGGTTGGAGTGGAGATAAAACTGTGGTTAAGCAAATGAATCTCTATAATAATGAACCAAAGCAAGGAATATCATAAGTTAGAACATAAGCTCATTGATACTTCAAACATAAATCATAACCACAGGAATGTTATAACAAGGTACCTATCCGGCTTGCATGTATGCAATCCAGTGACAAAATTATGAGCTGCATGAAGTGGAGTATCAGTCATCCAGTGCAGATATGCAATCACACAAGCCGGGGACCGATCAAAACCAGTAGTACAAGTAATGAAGACGCGGTGGTTCTTTTTCAACAAGCGTAATAAAAGCCCAACGGAGAACGGTAATCTCTTCCTCAGATCAAAGGAATCTCCATCCCTGAAGAAGAGATGCAGGCAAATTAATCAGGTACACCTCACTGGTATGATAATAGTGACAAATATGCTGAATCATTATGATTCCTGCAACCATTTCTTCTTAGCATGGCAAGAAAACTTATGATATCAACATATTCCAAGTTCAAGGAACATGAGCTTATGAAAACTTCAGTGCTAAGCTATGAAAACAAGTTCAGACTGTGAAAGATGAAACTTTCAGGAGAATTTCTCTCAGAATAAAAAACATTAGGCCAACTAAATTGACTGAAAAAACCCGCAAGGACCACAAACCAAGAAGAAAAGGAGAAAATACAGAAAATTGATGCGACCATAGCAGCCTTTTTCCATGACATCTTTTATGAAGCAGGAGAAGATTGGTCACCAGGCAATTATAATGGCTAAAAAGGGGGCTATATTCAGTTATTCACTAACAAATTAAATACAGAAGAGGAGATTGTATAGTATAATGCAAAAGATCATTGAGACTTATTATTGATGTTTGGTGTAACATCCCAAAATACGGGTTAGTGACTAAATCATAAAACTTCAGAGTTTGGTGATTTAAGTAGGATATTTGTATAGTACGATAATTTGTTCGGAAATATTTCCTGAAAGTTTTTAGTAATTATCCAAGAATTAAAGGGCAAAATGGTCATTTAACCATTAAATGATTAATTTGTTTGTTTGAGGATATATACGGGGAAAGGGATAAGAAGAATATATCTTCTTCTCCTCTTTGTTCTTCCATACGAGAGAAAGTCATAGCAAAGGTAAGGGTTTTCTGATTTGTTGGTTATTTGTTAAATTAAAGGTTAGGTTTTGATCATTAGATGATAACTAAGCTTAAGGAAAGCTTAAGTTGTCTTATAATCAAAAGATGAAGAAGTTATAAGATGAAGAATTATAAGAGATTTAAGAAAACGAGTTTTTATATGAAATCTTGAAATAGAGTTGATAAGTTGAATTTGAAGTAAATTGACTTGTCATCATGCTAATTAAGGAATATGAATTTTAGAATTGTATTTAGAACATATTGAAATGAGTATGATTCTTGAATTTCATATGAAATAGGATTTTGAAGTTATAGATAATTTTCATGGATAAAGTTGTTTAAGTAATGGTAGTTGAGTTTAATGACATGATAGGGGTTTAAAATAGAAGAATTAAGTGAAAATTGATGATTTTCGGGCTTAAATACAATTTCTGGGCATAGGGAACGATACCCTATGAAGGGGAATCGATTCCCTTCTAGAACGAGAAAATTCAGTATGTCCAGGGGGATCGATTCCCCCCTAAAGGAAAAATGAAATTGGGTTCAATAATCTGGCTTAAGTTGTTAACATCAAGTTTAAGATTTAGGCTTCTGATAGTTGTTTTGAAATGTTATACTATGAGATATTGAGCCTAAACAAGTTCCGGAATAATCAAAGGATTATAATCGAATCAAAGCAAGCTAAGGTGAGTGCAATTTTAATTGTACTTATATTATTGAACGAACATTGGCTTGCGATGAGCCAATGATGGAGTTACTATGATAAGTGACTCCTAAAATGTTATTTGATATGACTTATATGTACATGAATACATGATATGCATAAACATAAGAGCATGAAACATAAGATATATGATATGATATACATGATTATATGCATATGTGATACCTGCTATGAGATATGACCAATGTGAAATGAAATAAGCTATGTGAATATATGAAATGACATATGAATATGCAATATGTGATATGATATGAAATATATGGTTACACATACATGTGTATGTGACAGAAGAGAAAGAACAAGTGATGATATATTCATAATAAATGCCCATAGTATATGATACGAGAGCTATAGGTATAGTTGGCATGCCAAGAGTCGAGGGTATTATAGTCCTTCGGGACGTAGTCCTTCGGGACGTAGTGGTCCTACGGGACATATATAGCAGTCCTTCGGGACGAATACTGAACAAATGTTCGGTGCCCCATGAGGGAATTTATACGAGCTGTGGTGACAGCATTGGTGCACAACCTCGGTGCACAACCTCAATGTACTCACATACCTCTATTCTCAATAATATATAGGGGCAACAACAACAACAATTGAAATATAAATTAAAGTGAAAGTGATGCAAAAAGGTAAGTTTCATGTGTGCATGACTTGATTATATATGTCATAGGAAATATATCCATGCATATTGAAATATCATGATCAAATGGTAAGAATGCATTTTCATGAATCTACTGTTACATGTTTATTTATTGCCTCACTAAGTCTATGACTTAGCGTGTAAATGATTTACACGTAGGTACCAAGAAACGTGAAGAGCAAGAATAGAAGTGGCAAGGACAGTATTATTACTAGAAGATCAGATCAGAAGTAATCGACAAAGTATGTATTTTGTTGTGTATAGAGTGTTAGCATGTAATAAATCGTTAATTATGAGTACTCTGATCAAGTTTGTATTTTGTGGTCTCTTTTATGTAAATTAAAGTATTTTGTTTTAAACAAGTTTTAAATTCCCCGGGGTTTTCTTAAGTGTCAAGGTTTGAAAAGTCATTGTGACACCTCAGACTCGTATTCGGGTCAGGTACGGGTTGGGGTGTTACAGTTAATGGTATCAGAGCCAGGTTTAGTCGATTCTCGGCATAAACCGGAGTCTTGAGTGTTTTATAAGGTATATATGCCAACAAAATAGTGAAAACTTCTGATCTGATGGAATAGTAAGTATACTGTTGTGCTAATAGAACTATATGATTGTATTTTTATAGATGTCCGGACAAGGTAGTTCAAGAAATGAAGTGGGAGATGATATACCCGCTGAAAGTAGTAATTCACCTGCCCTGGCCAGGCAGAGTGAAGAACAGACACCCTCTGGAGTGCATGTGAATTATCAAGATGTATTCTTTAGAACTTTAGACGCGGTATTGACGCGTTTTCAACCTCCTGTTACTTCAACTACAAAAATGAATGTTGCAAAAGAGTTGAAGGGTTTAGGAGCTCCAGAGTTTAAAGGGGAAGCTGATGAAGGTCCGTTACTGCGACCTTTGGTTTAATGATGTGAAAATCATGCTTGAGGGACTTCATTGTTTCGATGCTGACAAGTTGGATGGAGTCGTCTCCTTGCTTCGAGGGCAAGCGAGAATTTGGTGGACCAACGTTATATTGAGAATGTCTGATGATCAAGTAACTTGGTCTTTGTTTTTAGAAGAATTCAAACATAAGTACATCGGAGATCAATTTATTCGAAAAATGAAGCAAGAGTTAATGAATCTGAAACAATGGAATCGCACTGTATATGAGTACGAGTGTGAATTCAATAAGTTGAGCCGCTTTGCTGCCGAGCTTGTTCCTACTGAGAAGGATGCTTGTGAGTGGTTCGTAGAGGGGTTACGTCCTCGGTTGAAGGAGATGTTGACTGTATTGAATCTATCCTCATTTCAAGAGGTAGTCAATCGTGCCAAAGCTTTGGAAAGAGCTCAGAATGAGAGATTTGAAAATTCAAGGACTCAAACAGTCAAGAGAACGGGTGCTTCTTCGAGTTCCACACCGTCAAAAAGAGGTAGAGATGCTGGTTCTCGACCTCAAGCTAGATCGGAGTTAGTGGTATCCTCAGCTAGAGGATTAAATCCGATGAGAGGAAGACAAACTTAATCAGCAGGATCTGGAACTGGGAGATTTAACCAGAGTCAAGACAGACAATGCCCACATTGTGGAAAAAATCATTCTGGGATATGTAGAAGGATTTCTGGAGCTTGCTTTAGATGTGGGGAGACTGGACATTTTGTTCGGGATTGTCCTAGAGTAGTCGATGAATCTGCACAGCCAGAGAGGTCTATTTCTTCAGGCCAAAGGGGAAGAGGTAGAAGCAGAGAAAGAAATCAATCAGAGTCTTCTGCTCAACAAGAGATACGTTCCACTGCTCGAGTGTATAATCTCAGGACCAATGAAGATCGGGATGATCCGGAAATTATAATAGGTACCTTTCTGCTGTTTGATAAACATGTTATGGTATTGATCGATCTGGGATCTACATATTCATACATTACTAGTAAGTTAGTGAGAGAACTGAGCATTCCGTTAGAAGCTACTAGTAATGAAATGATAGTGACGAATCCATTAGGGCACAGTGCTCGGGTAAATATGGTGAGTCGAGGGTGTCCTATACGAATTTAGGGAATTGAATTCCCTGCTAATTTGATGAAATTACCTTTTGAAGAATTTGAAGTGATACTGGGAATGGATTGGTTATATCGTTATTATGCTAATGTCGATTGTAGACTGAAAAGAGTAACGTTGAGAAGTCCAAAAGAGGTAGAAATCGTGGTGTTTAGTGAAGGGTGGAATCCATTGGCGAATGTGATCTCAGTGATGACGGCAAAGAAGTTACTGTTACAAGGATGTCAAGGGTTCATTGCTAGTGTGTTGGATGTAAGAGCCAAAGACAAAGAAATGGAAGAAATTCCTATCGTTAGAGAGTTCTCTGATATATTCCCTACAGAATTGTCAGGTTTACCTCCGGACAAAGAGGTAGAATTTCAGATTGAGATAATGCCGGGAACAACGCCCATTGCAATGGCGCCATACAGAATGGCTCCAAAAGAGTTGCAAGAGTTAAAGATTCAATTACAAGAATTAATGGACAAAGGTTTTATTAGACCAAGTGTATCACCTTGGGGAGCTCAGTTTTGTTTGTTAAGAAGAAGGACGGTTCAATGCGTCTTTGCATTGACTACATGCAACTCAATAAAGTGACTATCAAGAATAAATATCCATTTCCTCGAATCGATGACTTATTTGATCAATTAAAGGGAGCTTCAGTGTTCTCAAAAATCGATCTACGTTCGGGTTATCATCAATTAAAGATTCAAGAGAAAGATGTTCCAAAGACGGCGTTTAGAACAAGATATGGTCACTATGAGTTTATTGTAATGCCGTTGGAGTTACGGCACCAGCTGCTTTCATGGATTTAATGAACAAAATTTTTCAATCCTATTTGGATCAGTTCGTAGTGGTTTTCATGATGATATTTTAATATATTCAAAGTCAGAGAAAGAGCATAGTTCTCATTTGAGGACTGTTGCAGAATTTACGAGATAAGAAGCTTTATGCTAAATTCTCTAAATGTGAATTCTGGTTGAATGAAGTGACATTTCTTGGACATGTAATTTCTGCAGAAGGAGTTCGAGTGGATCCTCAAAAGATTAAAGCTATTTTGGGTGGGAAGTTCCAAGGAATGTGTCAGAAGTCCGAAGTTTTCTGGGGTTAGCTGGTTATTATCGAATGTTTGTTAAAAACTTTTCAATAATAGCATTACCCCTAACTAAGTTGTTGAGAAAGGAAGTAAAATTTATTTGGACTCAAGAATGCCAAGAGAGTTTTGAAAAGTTAAAGAAGATTTTGACAGAAGCTCCAGTATTAGTTCAACCTGAGTCTGGCAAGGATTTTGTAGTGTATAGTGATGCGTCTCATAATGGCTTGGGATGTGTATTAATGCAAGAAGGCAAGGTGGTGGCCTATGCCTCACGACAATTAAAGCCGCATGAGAAGAATTATCCGACACACGATCTGGAGATGGCTGCAGTAGTGTTTGCTCTTAAGATCTGGCGTCACTACTTGTATGGTGAAAAATGCTACTTGTATACAGATCACAAGAGTTTAAAGTACTTGATGACCCAGAAAGAGTTGAACTTAAGACAGAGAATATGGGTAGAATTTCTCAAGGATTATGATGTTGTGATTGATTTTCATCCCGGAAAAGCAAACGTGGTAGCAGATGCCTTAAGTCGAAAGACGTTTGCAGCCTTACGAACTATGGATGCTAAACTATCATTAGGCGGAGATGGTGCAATTTGTGCGGAATTAACTATCAAACCATCATGGTTAGATCAAATTAAAGAATTGCAAGCCAAAGATGAAAAGTGTTCAAAGAAGTTGCAGCAAATAAAGAATGGAGAATATACAGATTATGAGATGAAAACTAATGGGAACTTATATATCAAGGGAGGCTAGTGATTCCATGTTAATGAATTAAAGAATGATTATTAATGGAAGCTCACTGTAGTCCATTAACGATGCATCCAGGAGGAAACAAAATGTATATGGATCTCAAGAGTCGATATTGGTGGCCGGGAATGAAGAAAGACATTACGGAATTTGTATCAAAATGTTTGATTTGTCAGCAAGTTAAAGCTGAGCATCAGGTTCCGTCGGGACTGTTACAATCAATTTCAATTCCTCAATGGAAATGGGAGAATGTAACAATGGATTTTGTGACGGGGTTGCCTTTAACTCCGAACAAAAGAGATTCAATATGGGTGATTGTAGACAGGTTGACTAAGTCAGCTCATTTTATTCCGGTACGAACTGATTTCTCTATGGATAAATATGCTGAGTTGTATATCAGAGAGATTATACGGTTACATGATGTACATGTTTCCATAGTTTCTGATCGGGATCCTAGATTCACGTCACGATTTTGGAAGTCTTTACATGGATCATTGGGCACAAGATTGAATTTTAGCACAGCGTTTCATCCTTAGACAGATGGTCAGTCTGAACGAACTATCCAAATTTTGGAGGATATATTAAGAGCTTGTGTTATCGAATTTAAAGGATCGTGGGAAAAATATTTGCCACTTCTGAATTTGCGTATAACAATAGTTATCAGTCAAGCATCAAAATGGCTCCATATGAAGCTTTATATGGAAGAAGATGTCGTACACCCTTGAACTGGTATGAACTTAAGGATCGAGAAGTTATTGGTCCTGAGTTGATTCAGGATACGGAAGAGAAAGTTCAAGTCATTCAGAATAATCTAAAAGCTGCAGCTGATAGACATAAATCATATGCTGATTTAAAAAGGAAAGAAATTGAGTTTCAAATCGGAGATAAAGTGTTCTTGAAAGTGTCTCCGTGGAAGAAAGTATTGAGATTTGGACGTAAAGGAAAATTGAGTCTCGGTTTATTGGACCATATGAAATCGTTAAGAGAGTAGGACCAGTGGCATATCAATTGGCTTTGCCACCTGAAATGGAGAAAATCCACAACGTCTTTCATGTCTCCATGCTTAGGAAATATCGATCCGATCCATCTCATATTGTGACTACCGAAGATATCGAAGTTCAATCAGATTTGACTTATGAGGAAGAACTTGTTCAAATATTGGCTCACGAAGTCAAGCAATTAAGGAACAAGACTATTCCATTAGTCAAAGTGCTGTGGAGAAATCACAAGGTGGAAGAAGCGACGTGAGAACGTGAAGAAGACATGAAGATTCATATCCTTATCTCTTTGTACAATGAAAATTCGAGGACGATTTTTTTAAAGGGGAGAGATTTGTAACATCCCAAAATACGGGTTAGTGACTAAATCATAAAATTTCAGAGTTTGGTGATTTAAGTAGGATATTTGTATAGTTCGATGATTTGTTCGGAAATATTTCCTGAAAGTTTTTAGTAATTATCCAAAGAATTAAAGGGCAAAATGGTCATTTAACCATTAAATGATTAATTTGTGTTATGTTGAGGATATATACGGGGGAAAGGGATAAGAAGAATATATCTTCTTCTCCTCTTTGTTCTTCCATACGAGAGAAAGTCATAGCAAAGGTAAGGGTTTTCTGATTTGTTGGTTATTTGTTAAATTAAAGGTTAGGTTTTGATCATTAGATGATAACTAAGCTTAAGGAAAGCTTAAGTTGTCTTATAATCAAAAGATGAAGAAGTTATAAGAGATTTAAGAAAACGAGTTTTTATATGAAATCTTGAAATAAAGTTGATAAGTTGAATTTGAAGTTAAATTTGACTTGTCATCATGCTAATTAAGGAATATGAAGTGTTAGAATTGTATTTAGAGCATATTGAAATTTGAGTATGATTCTTGAATTTCATATGAAGAATAGGATTTTGAAGTTATAGATGATTTTCATGGATATAAGTTGGTTTAAGTAATGGTAGTTGAGTTTAATGACATGATAGGGGTTTAAAATAGAAGAATTAAGTGAAAATTGATGATTTTCGGGCTTAAAATATAATTTCTGGGCATAGGGAACCGATACCCTATGAAGGGGAATCGATTCCCCTTCTAGAACGAGAAAATTTCCAGTATGTCCAGAGGGTATCGATTCCCCCCTAAAGGAAAAATGAAATTGGGTTCAATAATCTGGCTTAAGTTGTTAACATCAAGTTTAAGGTTTAGGCTTCTGATAGTTGTTTTGAAATGTTATACTTATGTAGATATTGAGCCTAAACAAGTTCCGGAATAATCAAAGGATTATAATCGAATCAAAGCAAGGCTAAGGTGAGTGCAATTTTAATTGTACTTATATTATTAAACGAACATTGGCTTGCGATGAGCCAATGATGGAGTTACTATGATAAGAAGTGACTCCTAAAATGTTATTTGATATGTGATTCTTATATGTACATGAATACATGATATGCATAAACATAAGAGCATGAAACATAAGATATATGATATAATATACATGATTATATGCATATGTGATACCTGCTATGAGATATGACCAATGTGAAATGAAATAAGCTATGTGAATATATGAAATGACATATGAATATGCAATATGCGATATGATATGAAATATATGGTTACACATACATGTGGTATGTGACAGAAGAGAAAGAACAAGTGATGAGAAATATATTCATAATAAATGCCCATAGTATATGATACGAGAGCTATAGGTATAGTTGGCATGCCAAGAGTCGAAGGTATTGTAGTCCTTCGGGACGTAGTCCTTCGGGACGAATACTGAACAAATGTTCGGTGCCCCATGAGGGAATTTATACGAGCTGTGGTGACAGCATTGGTGCACAACCTTAATGTACTCACATACCTCTATTCTCAATAATATATATGGGCAAAACAACAACAATTGAAATATAAATTAAAGTGAAAGTGATGCAAAAAGGTAAGTTTCATGTGTGCATGACTTGATTATATATGTCATAGGAAATATATCCATGCATATTGAAATATCATGATCAAATGGTAAGAATGCATTTTCATGAATCTATTGTTACATGTTTATTTATTACCTCACTAAGTCTATGACTTAGCGTGTAAATGATTTACACGTAGGTACCAAGAAACGTGAAGAGCAAGAATAGAAGTGGCAATGACAGTATTATTACTAGAAGATCAGATCAGAAGTAATCGACAAAGTATGTATTTTGTTGTGTATAGAGTGTTGGCATGTAATAAGTCGTTAATTATGAGTACTCTGATCAAGTTTGTATTTTGTGGTCTCTTTTATGTAAATTAAAGTATTTTGTTTTAAACAAGTTTTAAATTCCCCGGGGTTTTTCTTTAAGTGTCAAGGTTTGAAAAGTCATTGTAACACCTCAGACTCGTATTCGGGTCAGGTACGGGTTGGGGTGTTACATTTGGTTCCCATAATTCCTTAACAAGTGAAAAAATGATGCGCCAAGCATACCGTTTTCTTCATGGAGTTTGTTTAAAAACCCTGTAACAAAATCCAGATTCAATGACAAGATGAATCGAATATTTTGGTCAAATTATAATATATAACATATTAATAAGAAGAACTAGTCTCAAAACAAAAGCATCATACTTCAAGAAGTTTGCAAGAAGAATAATTTTATATCAACATATAAAAGAAAATGGTTCTGCTCAAATAACAGGTATGTATGCACTCACCGCATCAGACAGAGTTTTGACATCAGCATCTGTCTGTATACATGACCCCACATAAATCTGCTCTGTAATCTGGAAACAAACAGTAGGGGTTCAAGAGGAAGTTAATGAAATGCAATTAGGGTGAGAAGATGAGAGTTATGAGAGAGAGAGAGAGAGAGGAGCAATGTATTTTTTTTTAAGAAGAGAGAAGAGCACTGTACAGTGAGATGGTTAGGGACACAATAAAACTCCTATCTTCAAAATGCTATGAAATGTTAAAAGAGAAATATAATGTACCTTGCTGTAATGCATGCCAAGCGAGTGGTTATAGTAAAGCTCGCCTTTGGAACGTTCAAGTGCCTTAATATATTCCTCCGATGGGAAGCTTCCATGAGCCCATTCTCCATCTCCAGGCTCTTTCTCAGAAAAAATACAAACAAGTTGGCTAACAGTTGAAGAAAGAATGTTCTTCTGCAATCCTGAACCAACACGTCCATTTTGATCATTCAAAAGCTTCAAACCCTGTGATGCTAGAAACTTTGAGGTAAATACTACAAAACCAGAATTTCCCCCAACCTCAGTAGAGGTTTGTAAATTAGATGCCAATAAAGCTTTGTTCCAAGTGGCAACTGGCATACGGCCTTTATTAAACAAAAAGTCGAGATCACTCAAGTGATGCAGTTCATGAATCGGAAAAGGTGAAAAGGGTCGCTCAAGTACAAGGCTAAAAGATCCTGTCTCCTCTATCAACAACTCCCTGAAGAAACCGAACCAAAAAGGAATCAATGATGTATGGTAATTAACTTTTTTAGTCATCTTTTGATCAAACCAAGCTGATTGCAGATTGCACAGGTTAACCATAACTGACTTTTGGTCCTCCATGTTTATCAAGGTTAGCAATTAACCAATCTATGAGCGAAGCAATTGTTATAGCATGCTTTAATCAACTCTATTCACTTCAAACTTCTAACGCATTTCAAATGAAGTTTATGCTTGTAATTACGAACTAAAGAAAGAATCATTTCAGTAATTTCATTGAGATTTCCTGAAAACAAATGCAAAGTTGTATCATACGCAGAAAATACATTTATAGCATTCAATTAAAATTTTAGATATTTAGCGATTAGCAACTAGTTACAAACACCAAACGAACCACAACAATTTCAAAACATATAAAAAGATATCTATTAATAGAAAAAGAATATCTCTTACTGAGCATCGCCGAAGTTCTTGATCTCAGTGAATCTTCCACCAGACGAATCGCTCGCCTTCTTCAACGTATCTCCTACCATTATTATTCTCGATTTCTCTGCATTACTCTGCAGAATAAAATTATCGCCGTTTTTTATTAAAAAAACTTAAATAGAAAGTGAATTTTCATAAAAAAATATGATGGTGAATAAAATGATAATTGCCTTACCCCGCGTTTGAGAGCATGGACAAATATTCTTCCATCGAGCGATAAACCGAAGCGAATACCGAGAGGTTTCTGTAAAGTAACCATATACTCATTCAAGTTCATCTTCAACGCCGAGTCGTCACTCGAAATTGCTAAAACCTTTAACGGCTGCTTCTTATTCCGCGTCGTCTTTTTAATCGGAACTCCATTGATGAAGTTTGAATCTCTGCTGCGAAAATCGATAGCTTGCTCTGTAATTGAAGAGTTGCAGCGGAAACATCGTTTTTTTGAGGGAAAAAATAACGAAAATGATGATTGAAATCTCAAAGATAGAAAAGATGAAATTGTGAATAAAATAAAAGGAAGGCAGATCGGGTAAGGGAACAAATTGTCCACGTGGTATATTGTGGGTCCGATTGCATAAGGGGGTCGTGAATCTTTTATAATATGATCTGCCACGTGGAGATTTTAATACTTGCTCTGATAAAAAAAAAATCTTTCGATTTTTGAATGTTTTGAGAAATGGCTTATAGCCAATTGGGCACACACACGTAAGCTATTTAGTGTCTGTATTTTAGGATTTTTTTCCCTCCTGAAATAATTGAGGGCGACTTGAAGAATTGATGCATCATTCTGGAAAATGAACTATACTGCAGTAGATTTAAATGATTGTGTTTAATGAAGTATACTTTATGTCACAGGTTGTCAAAAGAAATGGCTGTTTCCCTTGTCGTTTCTATGCGAAAGTCTTCTTGAGATCCACTTTCTGATTTTGCTTATTAGTGTAGTTTTTGCAGTATGCTTACCTTATTTTTGTTGAGTTAAAGCTAAGCATTCGTTATTCCCTTGTATTCATTAGTGCTTTGATCTGTTGGGCATTTTGATTATGGATGTTACTCGAATTCTTTGATGTATAGCTATTTGATCTTGATATTTGAAACAAGAAGTATCATGGAGATGAAGATTTGATCGCAGCCTCGGGAATCTGAGAGAGAGTAGATGTTGTTTCCTTTTGCTAGCAATCAGGAAGAATGGAACCATGCTTCTAAAGTAGTTCTAGCTTTAAATTTGCATTAATGTTATGGCCACCTCACTCACGTAAGTCCCACCTTTTCAACCTATACAGGGCAAGCCACCATCAATCCCCAACTACCCGACTCCGTAGCTACTACAATTAACCCGACACCCACAAACTCAACACATGCCTTTCACGGAACCCATGAAGGCGGATTTGGTTTGAGTTTCTCGAAAAATGATTTTAAAAATACCGTAAAAACTTAATTTTAAAAATATTTTTAAAAAGTGTAATTTAAAATATAAGTATTTGAGATTAATGTTAAAAAATAATTTAAAAAGATAAAATATTAAATTTAGATATTATGTTGCAAATTGAAAATATAGTATTTAAGGATAAAAATATAATTTCATCAAAAAGTGATTTTTACACAACTAAAGTCATAAATTTGAGCTTATGAAGTTATATTAAAAATCAATTTTCTAACCATGATTTTAAATCAAATTTTGAGTGTTTAACATTATTTATGAGATGAAAAAAAATCAGTCTCCCGTTGATTCACTGGTGTTCTTGTCTGTTTTTCTTCCGATTGAAAATCTTCTGGTCTTCTTTATTCACTCCACTCTCTTATTTGTCCAATGAATTGGCATAAATTATTTAGGTGTCAAGCAAATCAGGAGCTTTCTTATTTTCCCCCAAAATCGAAAAATAAGGTTCTGGTTGTTCAACCTCCTCCTGAGGTCTTCGAGGCAGGTACAACATAATGGAAGTCCGCTCTTGTAGGGCAGTTCCTTGGGTCAGCCCCCAATTTCCTCTCTCTGTAAAGAATTATTGACAATCTCTGGAATTAGCCATCGAAGGGGGCTTCTGTTCAGGTCAGTCTTGCTGGGAATAATTTATAAATATTTTCATTCAACTCTGATTCTGCTAGGGATTGGGTCCTAGAAAACGGACCATGACATATTCTTAATAAGCCATTAATCCTCAGAAAATGGGAGCCTAATCTTCAAAGGCTTAACTTTGATTTATCTCGCATGCCTTTATGGATTCACCTGTTCAATGTTCCACTGGAATTGTTTACTAGGGAAGATCTTAGTTACATCGCAAGTGCACTAGGAGTCCCTATTTCCATGGACTCAGTAACTGCTTCTAAGACTAGGCTAGAATTTGCTAAGGTTTGTATTGAGGTAGGTGCAAAGAAGGAAATCCCAAAAACTGTTGAAGTGGTCTTGGCAAATGGTCAGACCACTACTATCTTTGTCGAAGTCCCCTAGTATCCCAATTGTTGTAGAAGGTGTGAATCATTTGGTCATACTGATAAAAACTACACTGTTAAAACTTCTACAACCCCTTCCTCTACCAAAGTTTGGAGGAAGAAACCTATCATGAATGTTAACCAAGAAAATAATTCCTCTAAAGGAATTGAAACCTTACAGAAACCAAAGCCAGACTCTTCCCCTCCAATGGAAAAGTCTGAACAATCATAGCAATTCACTCATTCCCCTAAAAAAAAGTCTGATCTAAATGTTCTAGATTCTGAGTTACCAATTAAGATTCATTCTCCAGTTCAAATTGCTTCTTCTTCTAAGAGTGACCTAACTATCTATTCTGGTGAAGAATCTACTGTCATACCACATCTCTCTACTAAATATATAGAATCTGTTAGAGGGGAAACTTCAACTTTTGAAATCTCATCCAATGCTAAAGATAAAGAAACAGTTCATATCCTTAAAAGAGATAAAGGTATACCTCTCAAAGTAAAATCTAAGGTTGCTCTAAAAGGATCAGCTAATAGATTTGAAATTATAAGCACTGTTGATGAGAACCCTCATTCTGTTAAGACTCAAGTTAGAAAATCGAGGCCTGTTGCATCAGGGGTTACAAACCTGCTTAAAGAGCTTAAATTAAAAAAGAAAGAGCATATTGTTAAAGCACAAAGTTCTGTAGATAGTGAACAAGAGGGTGATCCCATTTCTCCTCAATGATCATTTGTTTTTGGAATATAAGAGGATTAAATAATCCTAAAAAACAGATTAAAGTTCTTAATAGAGCCAAGCTTTTCAATGTTGATATCCTTTGTTTGTTGGAGACTCGTGTCAAGACTGAAAAATCTTCTAATATCCCACACTCTAGATTTGGAGACTGGGGTGTGATTACCGACTACGACTCAGCAACTAATGGTAGAATCTGGTTTCTCTGGAAGACAATAATTGATATCACATTCTGTCATTCTACTTCTCAAAACATCACTGTTAAATACAAATTCAATAATAAGCCTTTTATCATCACTGCAATTTATGGGAACAATGATGGTCTATCTATGAGGCATATTTGGCAGCACCTAAGAGATCTTGATATTTCTTTTGGTTCTCTCCCTTGGGTTCTAGGAGGAGACTTTAAAACTTATTTTAACCCTAAGGAAAATTCTGATTTTTACCTTTTAGGGCCTTACTACTCTTCTGATATGAAATATTTCCATGATGTACTTCATGGCCTTCAACTCTGTGACCATCCTTATTTTGGTCTTTCATTTACATGGAGTAATAAGAAAAAAGAATTATCTTGCTAGAAAACTTGACAGAGTGCTTATAAATCCTCTTTGGTATTCTTCTTTCCAAAAGTCTTTTGTTGAATTCCTTGCTCCTGGACCTTCTGATCATTGTATGGCTCTTGCCTGGTTAAGTAAAGGGATTCAAACCAATCACCCCAAACCTTTTAAATTTTTAACTTCTGGGCCAACCATCATAATTTTCTTGCTGAAGTTCAAAATTCCTAACAGCAACCTTCCCAAGGTAACCCTATGTAGAGATTGTTTCACAAATTAAAACATTTGAAACCTTATTTACAGTCCTTAAACAAATATTTCTACAGTAATATCTTTGATATGGTTAAACTCAAGAAAGTTGAGCTTGAAAATATTCAAATCTCAACTCTTAGAGGCACCAATCATATTGAAAGAGAATTGAATGTTCAAAAGGAGTTGATTACTCTTGAAGAAACTGAAAATCTATTTCTTAAATAGAAAGCTAAAGTCAAATGGATCAAAGAGGGTGATAAATGCACCAAGTTCTTCCATTCTGTCATTGCTAACAATAATAAAAGAGACACAATCAGGGTTCTTATTAATGAACAAGGTAAAGACTGTAATCTTTTGATGATATGGCTTCTGAAATCTTAGATTACTTTAAAGCTTAGCTTGGAACTGCTGATCCTTGTGTTCAAAAAACTGATCCTCTCTTCTTGAAAAATCTGCTTCAAGTCAATTTGCCCACTGAAATTATTTCTGACCTCACAAAAATCATCACTTCTGAAGAGATTAAAGAAGCTATCTTCAACCAAGGAAATGCCAAATCTCCATGCCCAGATGGTTTCACCCCTCTTTTCTTCAAGAAAACATGGAATGTGGTTGGAGAATATATTGTCAATGCTATCAAATTTTTCTTCAAGGAAACTATCTACTGCCTGACTTCAATTCAACAATTATTGCCTTGATTCCAAAGATTCCCAATCGTAGCAAAGTCAAGGATTTCAGGCCTATTTCCTGCTGCTCTGTAGTTTACAAAATCATCACTAAAATCATTGTTAAAAGAATGACTATGCTGCTGCCATACATAACTTCTCTTAACTAGATTGATTTTGTTAGAGGAAGAACTATAATTGACAATACACTTTTGCTCAATAACTTGTAAAAGGCTATGGAATGAAGAATATTTCTCCAATGTGAGCTCTTAATATTGATCTCCAAAAAGCCTTTGATTCTCTTCACTATGATTTTATTTCAGTTATTCTAATTGCTATTGGACTGCCAAACACTTTCATAAGCTGGATTGAAGCTTGCTTTAAGGAAGCTAAATATTCAATCTCCTTAAATGGTAGCTTGATAGGATACTTCAAAGGTCAGAGGGGGGTAAGACAAGGAGACCCTCTTTCTCCTATTTTATTTTCTCTTGCCATGAATATCCTTTCAAAGATCCTAAACATTGCTGCTTCTAGGGAATCTTTCGATATCATCCAAAATGCAAAAAAATTGCCCTCACACATTTATCTTTTGCAGATGACCTTTTAATTTTTTGCAAAGGAAACCTTGATTCTGTTGTTAGTATTCTTACTGTTCTTAATCATTTCTATTGCTAGTCTAGTCTAAAGCTAAATATTAGTAAGACATAACTGTTTGCTGCTGGAATTTCTCATAAAAATCTTGAGGCTATTAAATGTATTTATGGGTTTAAACAAGGTTTCTTGCCTGTAAGGTATTTAGGGGTACTTTAGTCACTCGGAAGCTGAATATTCAAGATTGCCAGCCTCTTATTGACAGAATCAAATCTAAACTGCATCTTTGGTCTGGAAAACTGCTCAGTTATGCTGGAAGATTTGAATTGATCAACTGTTCTTTTTAATGTTTCCAACTGTTGGTGCAGACAATTCATGCTTCCTTAATATGTTATTAATAGAATTGACTAGCTCTGTGCACGGTTTCTCTGGAAGGGATCAAGCAACTACTGGAGCCAGAATTAGTTGGAAAAATATTTGTTGCCCAAAATCTGAAGGTGGCCTCGGTTTTAAAAATATCAAAACATGGAACAAGACTTGCATGATTCAGCTTATACGAAACATTCTTGCTGGAGAAGGTTCACTTTGGGTCTCTTGGTTTAAATTATATGTGATCAAGAACAAAGATTTTAGAGACTTGAGTGAAAGTCCTACCAATAGCTGGGGCATAAATAAATTGTTAAAGCTAAGGACTGAGGCCCTTCCCATTCTTAATGCAAATGTTTCGAAGACTAAGGATATATGAGAAGAAATTAGAGAAAAACATAACAGGGTTCTATTGCACAAAGTGGTTTGGTTTCCCCTCCATATTCCAAAAACAAGTGTCATTACTTGGATGGCTATTCTTGATAGACTTCCAATTTGTGATGGGCTCTCTCGGATGAGAATTCAAACTGATGGATTAAGTGTTTTCTGCAAAGAGAAAATTGAAACTAGAAACCACTTGTTCGCTGAATACAACTTTGCTAAAACCCTGTGGAACTCAATTTTGTAGCTCACTCATTTGCGCAAACCCCACATGTTTTGGGAAGCAAGGCTTAATTGGTCTTGTAAAGAATGGAAAGATAAATCCCTCATCTCCACTGTTTTGAAGATTGCATGGAATGCTTACATCTATCTGATTTGGGAAGAAAGAAATAGAAGAATCTTTCAAAATCAAACTAGAGACGTGAAACAACTTTTGAAGAACGTCAAGGAGCTTGTCCAAATTCAGTTAATTGGTAGGAGCATTAATAGACTCGATGATGTTAATTCTACTCTCTGTTGCAATTAGAGTATAGACTAAATATTTTTTGTTGTACATAACTGGTATACTCCCATTTGGGATGTTTTTTGTAGCATGAATTGCTCCTTTGAATAATAAAATTCAATTTATCCAAAAAAAAGATAAAAAAATGTTTGATAAAAGTATCGATACAAATTTTCTTTTATCACAATTATTTATTGGCATTATTATAAGTGATATAATTATTTATATAAAAATAAATTACATAATTAAATTGAATTAAAAGATTATTATTTAAATTTAATTTAATAATCTAGAATGTAAATTATTTTATTAGTTGCTTTGAAATGCAAAATTGCTAAGATTTCTATAAATTCCAGGACTTGATCCGTGCATTAAGATCACGAGCGGTAACATTAAATGTCTACTTTCCTTCACGGCTACTCAAAGAATTAATTAATATCTGATGGAAAAAACCAAATGTGATATCCGTGAACAAAATAAATTAATATCATGAAGTGATTTTGGGCTAATAAAAATCCTTAGGCTTATCCTAAAATGATAAACATTCCTCCATCGTGCCCATAAGGCATAAGGAATATCCATAACCATTTATAAAAATTGTGTTTTACCCGAAATTTGTTTTCAAAAAGTACAACTATAGGCATATGAATGAATAATTTTTATTTGAGAAAAAGTGTGAAAACAAAAAAAAAAATTATTTGGTCAAATTATTAAAATCCATAATTATTTTTTATTTTAAACTAATCGTTTGATTAATAAAATTGTCAATCTTTTTCCATAGTCATCTTTAGTACTAAGCAAAATTTTGACGAAAACGATGCTTTATACCATAAAAATTCATAAGGGAGAAGGGCCTGATTATCCAAACTATATACCTTAACTTTGTTAGGAGCAAGATTATTGTATCATTTATGTTATTGGATCTCGACATTTTCACAAGGCCGGATCAGATTCAAAATTCAAAGCATTTCTCAGTCTCTATGTTGGACACCGTAAGTTTTTGAAATTGAATTTATACCCATCAAGACAATAATTGATTAACTGTGATAATGATTGAATTTAAAATTCAACCCATTAATCATTTTATATAATAATAATTATTATTATCATAATGTTTTAGCTCTTATCGTTTTAATTTTTGGTCAAAATTTTGTTAGATGAAAACCGTTAGTTGATTAAGCCTCAACATGTACGGTTGACGTGATATTTTACATATGCTTAATTGATGACATGACACGTTTCATATTATCACTTTGAATGATATGATACATAACACATTATAATATTAAGTGACGTGACATATGTCACCTCATCAATTCAATGTATATAAGAATATCATATTAATAATGTGTATCGATAATTAGTCTATTAACGATTTTCATCTAATAAAATTTTGAACAAAAATTGAAACGATAGTCTAATTTTATCATTGTTCCTTATACTTATAAAAACAAGTGTAACATGAGAGTGTTACGTGAAAGGAAAAGAGAATGAAATAAACTACACATACAAGGGCAATGAAATTCAGACTTCGAAAACAAAAAGATGTGAACAACCTAACTACCCATTTTTGGTGTCTTTCACACATTCTTCATGCTTCATTCAAATATCCAACATTTTAAGTGTTTATACATACAATCCAACGTAAATAGAATTAAATTTACATATTATAAATTTATTTTATATAGTTTAATTTTTAAAATTCATATTGTAAATATTTTAAAATACTTGTATTCTTATGATATTTTGGTATTATCAAATTTACATACAAAGATTAACAATTATTTATTTCCTTATAAGTTAGATTCTTGATCGAAACGGTGAGTTTTAATATATAAAATTTATAAATGTTCATAGTCTATAAATTTTACTAAAGTGACTATTATATTCATATTTTAATTATTTTCTTTTGGAAAGTTGAGGTATTAACTTCTAGACGACAACTGTCTGAATGTGTTTTCATAAATTGTCTTAGAATATTAATTATAACTATGTAAGTCAATAACTCATCTTAGTGATGGAAAATCAAGACGATTTCTTGTTATAATTAGTTGGAAACTTTGGTGGATAAGATTTATTAATTTTTCATTATTTAAAACTATAATCAGGGGAAAGTGTTATAGGACGGTTACTAAAAAAACCGGTGTTTTTATTCTCTTCTTCCTAGCATCAGTTTCTAACGGTGACTATCATTGTGTCGAATTTTTTCTGTTTACAAATAAAAGTTCATTCGACTTAAAAATAATAATCAGTGGTGATTTAACTTTTAGAACATTTTACTCAGTATTCCGCAATTATGATTTCAATTTTTTAATTTCTTCTTGTCTAACACTTATATAGCATTTGTAAAAGTGGATATATTATTAGATCTATTTGATTATTTTATCGGAAAAAGTCACAAGTGTTTTTATACTAATATTTTTATAATTAAATTTAAGAATAAAGTATACAAACGGTAATTCGACTATTAAAAATTATAAAATAATTTTTAACTATATGAAATTATTTTGTTTAATCTCCGACTATTAAAAATTACAAAATAGTCACTTGACTATTCATACGTTTCAAATTCGTCAATTTTTTGTTAGAAAACGATAATCGTTTGAGCTAGATGTTAACATGATGTTTCAACAAAACAAAGCCCTATAGTTGGGACCAATTTTTTACCATATCACAATCAACATGTTAATGTTCAGTTCAGACAACCGTCAGTTTTTTTTTATCAAAAATGACAAATTTGAAATATATAAATAGTTGGATGATCATTTTATGACTTTTAATAGTTGAGACTTCGAGAGTAATTTTATATTTTTAATAGTCAATGAGCTCAATAAAATAACACCTTATAATGGAGAAAATATTTGTATACTTTACAAAATTATAAAATATTATTTAAATTATTTTGGTATAAATATTTGTATAAATATCATTTTATATAAATATTTGTATATATTAAAAAATCAACACTAGATCAATAGAAAAACTATAAAAATGTATTAATGGATTTAAATATTATTTATGACAATATTTTGGTAATAATAATATAATATAGAGTGATTTTTTATATTTTTAAAAAATTATTTAACATAACAAAATTTAACATATTATTTACATTTCTAATAATCTGACTTTTTTACAAATATAAATTTATCTAAAAAAAAGGGAAATTTCGACTTAAACCTTATTGGCAAAAATCCCAACCAAGTCCCTTCTATACGGCAAATAGGACCGTCGTTTATCTCCTCCTTTCAACGCCTTATTCCTGACGTTAAATCCTTCATTCGTCGACGATTTTTCGGCTCTCTTCATCTTCATGGCCTTTACTACGTCGCCTTCGCTTTTCTTCTTCTTCTTCACCGTCGTCGTCTTTGCTATTTTTTCACTCGCTTTTTCTTCGTTCTTATCAAAATTCAGAAACGAAGATGAGACGTTACCGTCACTGTTGCTCCTCTTAAGGAAATCCTTTATGAAACGCCAGCGTTTTGAAGATGATCCGGTCGACTTACTCTTCTTACACCTGTTCGGTGACGATTCCGTTGATTGTTTCGGTTTCCAAACACAGTACATATCGGTTGGCAGTCCTTCAAGCTCGTCCGCCTCCGATGAAGATGAGGACAGATTATCTCCGTCGCCGATAAACAGTTTTCTCAACGGAACCCGAATAGATTCTTCGTCGTCGTCGTCATTAACACCATCGCCGTGCTTGAAGATTGGAAACGACGAGAACGTTTCAGGATTCTCATGGAGATTATTGGCGAACTCGAATTCTTCATCATCGGGAACGGCGTCGCTTTTGATGTCCCGGCTAACCGTGGCGGCTATTTCAACGAGCTTATTGTTACCAGAAGAATAGATGCTGAAACTGGGGCAAAACGACAATTCCGAGCTGTCGTTCTGCATCTGAAGCTTTCGGATCATAAATAAAAGAGGTAAAGCCTAAAAGAGAGTTCAATATTTTTAAGTTTCTTGAGTATCGTGTGAACGTATTTATACGCGAAAAACAAAGATTTTTTTAAAGTGACTACAAAGTTTCTAATTGGCAATCTTGAAGCTTGTTTACCTTTATTTTTTTACTGTTGGCTCAGACGTGTGATTCACATTTTTATGATGTTTTGAATAAATTGAATTTATATTTAAAACTTAAATTTGATTGGAGATAGAAGTTTAATTATTTAAATTAATAATTCAAATATCTTAGGTTTTAAATTAATTATTTGCACATTAATTTTAGTTAAAATTAATTTAAAAAATTAATCTTTTAAATCATTCAGGGTTGAATATTAAAATATTTATTATTTTAAATATTTTTCGAGAGTAAATTTAGTAGATTTAATCAAAGTTTATTGCAGTATTCTAGAAAATCTGTAGATAAAAAAAGTCCAAGACTTTCTAGACTGTAAATCATGTAGAAAAGAAAGTAAGGCATGATGACATGACGTTGGTTGATGAAGTAAATGATAAAACTAAACTTGATCGAGAGGCAAAGGCAAGTTGGCCTGGAATTTGGGAAGTATTATATATATATATATATAAACTAACATGTTGACAAAAACTCTTATATTAAGGGATCATGTTTGATTTATTCATGACTATTAAATTACTCTTAGTATATTGAGCTGTATTTTTCTAGATGGCATTGAAATTTTCATACCATCTTTAAAATTATACAGCCGTGTTCTTTTTTATTTATTTATATATATTAATTAATAAGTTAAATATAAAAAAATATAAGAAAATATGTTATTTGAGCGGAGGATAAGCATGCACTAGCAATATCCATGAAAATCTTAGCCATCGAATGTTATTTGGTGAATCATTTTGGATAATAAACCATATGTTAATTCCACCAATACCTTAACAAGAACTGTCGGCTCATGTTGGCTTTAAGCAGTAACTCGGGGGACACTTGTGTTTTCTATACATAGTTTCTCTTTAATGGGATGGTTAGGGAAAAACACTGGTTAGAAGTGGTAGATGTTAGCGTCAGAGGAAAAGACTAGTCAGAAAAAGATTTGAGAGATTTTGACTCTCAAGCGTTGCATGCCATTTTCTAAAGGGTATACTTAGAGGTGCGAATGATTATATCATTTTACGAATTATTCATTAATCGATTTTGTATAAATTTCGTTTATTAAATTTAAGCGAATATAAGTAAATTTTTTTTTAATAAACAAATAAATACGAATATATATATATATTCAATTGGTTTATGTTCACGAATAAACTTGTTTATAAGTTCATGTACTTAATTCTTATTTTCCTTTTATTTTTTACATTTTAAATATTGATCAATATATTGACTAAATTGAACATAAGATGAATTTTAGAATTCAAACCGTGAAGTCTAAGAAATTTAAGAATTAGTAGTGTAATTTCACCATTTTTAATAAAAGGATAAAAATAGTGTTGATTGTCAAAAACGAGTTAAACGAACATGTACGCTAATGGTAGACGAATGAACACAAAAACTTTAAAAACTAAAAAAACATGAACACAATAATAAAAATTTAAACGAACATAAATTGAATATAAACACATTTAAAAATAAATAGACGAAAACAAACACAAACACAATCTCAATTCATTTATATCCCTAAACAGGGATGGAACTACATGGGAGGAGGGAGGGAATTGCCCCTATCCCCAAACTTTGATGGTTTAATCGGTTTTAGGTCATTAAATTTTTTGAAATCATTACAATTAAGTCATTTCCCCTCCTAAATTTATTGGTTTAATTATATTTTAGGACCTTTTTAGTTTTAAAAAATAAAAAATTGGCTTCTAATTTTTTTGTTTTAATTACTTTTAAAGATCCTTCAATTTTAAAAATAGTGAAATTCAACCAAACTCCTTTAATTTGTATGGTTTTTTCAATTTTAAAATCTTATTTATTTCAAATTTAAATAATTTGTCCTTCTCATAGTTCAATCTTGGCTCCGTCCCTACACCTAAATATACCAGAGGGGACTGTTATTATAATATTTATATTAGAATTTTAAAAATCTCTTTACAAATGAATTTTCTCTTTGAAATCTCTCCTTCACACATGCCATTAGAAAACCCTAATCTTTACCTCTGGACTCTAATCTGAATCTCTGAAGGCAAAGTCAACGAAATGTCTTATGATCTTCGTGTTTGTATTTTATCATGTTCCATAGGTCGAAACCGGGTCTGGAAAGCCCTATAGGTGAACAGAGGTAGCAATGTAGTAATGGCAACGAGAAGGGCGGTGAGCCAAAATCGAATGCTTGGACCGCAAGCTTCGATAAAAACCTTGTATGCCGTTGTAGACAATGGCGGCGGAATCGAACCGTAAACCAGCAAGAATATAAACCAGAGGGTGATGCTGCCCCATATGAAGAGGTGCTGGATCCATGTGAAGTAATTGATTGAGAGTGCCATTTGACAATTTACAGTCAAAACCACACATGTGTACATTGTAAGCCCGAGAACCGAATAATCGGCGACATGACCATCGTTGCGGAATGCTTGACCAGTTATCGAGTTGATGGTTAAGAAGAATATGATTATGGAACTAAGAACTCCATTGAACATCCAGCCAAGTATACGGATCCATCGGAAGAGGATGTTCTGTACGCCCTCTTGGTACAATAAAGGATGCTGCAAAAAGGATTTACATATAGTAAAAGAATTGTATTCAGTTCGCATGCCATGAAATCCAGCAAATGTACTGCATTAGTCCGAGATATAAAGAACCATTTACCTCAAGGCAAAGACTGGCTGAAACGTCTTGATCGAAAACACCAAGGGCTATTACCGGAAGTGAAGTGAACAGAACATTATAGCACGACATGTACCAATCATTATAAGCTGGCTGACCGGAGAAAGAAGCATAGACCTCAAACCAAAACAAAGTAAATCCAAAAGTGATGTTCTTGTAGAAAAAGTAGCATATCTGCAGTTACAAGAAAAATAAAATTATGATGCTTGCCTAATCTGTCCCCAAAAATATGGAAGAGAACAGCAGACAATATCATTCTCGAGAGTCGAGATACGAAAATCATCAGAATATCTCGGCTTAGTTCCAGAGAGAGAGAGGACAGAACAATTTTTACCATCATTGCGATTCGCCTGTAACACCAATGGCCATGAACCAATAATAAATTTTCCAGAAAACGAAATTGAGCAATTGAAAAATCACTTGACATCACAGCCTGCAATTCATATGAGTTAATAAATGCGAAATCAGAAAGCCGGACAATTACAATTCATAATAGATCATGTTATTATCATTAACTTGTTCGTATAACATGGATGAACTATCAAGCATCGACCAAAAATCATTACCAAAACCAGGGTACCGAAGACTATGGAAATGAAATATATATGTATACCTGCATCCCCTCAACACCGCTGATGCCGACTCCGATATCAGCCTCTTGAATCATGCCGACATCGTTTGCACCATCACCGATTGCTAGTGTTGTTTTACCTGTTACAGATTTCACCAGTCTAGTAACCTGCATATCATCTAGAGTTCTATTAAGATCATTTTCATGAAACTCCCTTAGTTTACTAGACTCGCCTTAACACAGTACTTACAACAGCTTTTTGTTTTGGGGAAGATCGACAACATATAACAGTAGCACAACTCATTGCTAGATCCATAAAGCAGTTTACACGATTCTCGTCCACAGCAAAAAACAAGGACTTGCCATCGATAATCAAACCAAACTCAGTCGAACTTTCTTTAGCTACTTGAGATTTTCCATCACGTATTTGCTGTTCTACACTTTCAAGAGAAGCCTAAAAATAATTATAGATTCAGATTTTCCGCCCAATAAAGACTGAATTAACATCACTTTAAGACAATGTAGGTTGTACCTGTGCAATGATGTCCTTATCCCCTTGTTTCTCAAGCTCTTCAATTTGTGGTAACTCGAGCGTGATCACAATCTGTTTCATTCCAGGTCTTAGTAGACCGCATGCATACCTGTAGAAATATAGAACTAATAACATTAATATTTACACCCGACATTAAGACCCGATAAGTCGGATTCAACTTGTTAGAATACCCTATATTAATAGCAGTTCCCTTCTTGTCGCCGGTCAAAACCCATATCCGAATTCTAGCCCGTGCAAGCTTGTCAATACAGCTTGGGACCTGAGTAACAGAGAAATAAAGCTGTTTATTCAAACCTAACTTATCTAGTTCACAAATTACAACTATGATACTTGGACTCCGATATCAGAGCCGGATGGAGGTATGTATCCAAATATGCATCGGACATAATCGTCGGACACGGGAACTTTAAGATTAAGGGTCTATATAGTAACTGACCCCCTTTTGTAGTTTGTCTTCAACAGCTGTAGCACCGAGAAGGATTAAATCCCTTTCAATCCTGTCAGCCAATTCATCCAACAAATCGTCTCGATCAGCACCTACAGAAGTTTTGGCCTTTGCATATTCTTGTTCCCACATTTTATACCCATCATCGTCGAGTTCACGATAAGCAACAACCATGGTTCGTAGCCCTGCCTCGGAATATCTTTCGATATGCTCCTTGGTCTGCACCTTGAACATCCGGCCATGTTCTGAAAGCCTTTCAAACATCACACTGAATAACATAGTGATAAATGAAATTCTACATCAGCAACTGCATAAAATTCCACCAAATATATCCGAATGTGGCTTTATCGATTCAAATTCTGACCTGTCTGCACCTTTAGCAAGGAGCAATAACTGTTTCTCCGGGCTCCTTATGATTACAGACATCCTTCTGCGAGCACTACTGAACTCCAACACATTAAGAAGCTCATATACTCTGAAATGCAGAAACTTATTCATTCATATGCAATGTAAACCTAGGTCATGTGAAAAAGGTTCTGAAACGATTACCTGTCAACTGTTTTCCCACTAATAGGATCCAATTCATGCAGTTGTATGCTGGTTTGATCCCTTACGAAAAACTGAAAACCGACTTCTCGTGCTGCAATGACAAAGGCTGCTTCATCGGCTGACTCGGCTTCATAAACAATCTGGTCCGATTCTGTTACTTCAGGGACGGCTGTATGGCATGTTCCTAAGACCCTAAAGAACTTCTGTATGACATCCGAGTGAGGTTCATCCATCCATTTCCCGTCCATAATGCGTTCATCCCGGAAGTTGAAGCCCTTAACATATTCTCCGGATTCCACTGCATCTATAGCCATTGGTTCATCCAATATCTCACCACTTTTCCTAGCCAATGCAACTTCTACCTCGGTCATGCCACGACCGTAGGCAGTGCCAGCAATTGAGCATTTCACAAACTCCATCGAGTTACATGTCAAAGTTCCAGTTTTATCGGAGAGTATGGTATAGACCTGACCGAGTTCCTCATTCAAATTCGAAGTCCGAGCATGTGCCGGCCTCTCGGTTTGCTCATCATACATAGCCTGGTCTTGGTTAATGAAAATGCTTTGTAAAACCTTGCAAATCTCAATGGAAACATACAATGATATAGGTATCAAATACCCGTATAACATCAGACCCGTCAAGAAATGCAAAAATGCAGCCACCAAAGGTCTCCTCGGGTCAAAGAATACAGTTGTGCTATCTGGTCGGAGATACCACCGTCTGTAATCTCCACCATTATCTTTTTTAGTCTCAATTCCGAAAGATAGAGACCCTATGAATGATACCAAAATCAGAGTGATGAAAAGGACATAAATTATCTTATCCATCCTCCTCTCAATCCTAGTCCTCTTCGAAGGAGGGTCCATAGCATTCTGCATTACTTTCGTATCATGTCCGGTGAAAATAACTACGCCATAGATGTAATCAGTATTCTTCAGTTTAGAACCTCTCAAAAGGATTTGTTGTGGGGAAAGTGAGTACTGTTGACATTCATAGTACAATGTTCCAATGAATGAATAAAGATGTTCATTCGGGTCCTCACACTTGATCACAGCTCTAAATCCCTTAACAGTCTCTACATCACGAATGACGGATGTTACCCCTAAGGCATGTTTCGACTTTAAATTAGTCTCTCCATCAAGGTTCATCGTCTCGACATAACAAACACCGTCTTGGTAGCCGGAGGAAAGTAAGAATAGATCAGCAGGAAAATATTCATCCTTATGCACCTTGACAAGGTCACCAACACAGATGTCCTTCCATTTGATTTCTTTGAATGAGCCATTTCCATCATAAACTTCAACCTGTCGATTGTTTGCCTCTACATCCTGAATCCATGGAGAACAACTTCAGATAATGAATAAAAAGGTGGGAATCGAAATAAAGTTTCGAGAATCACCTGCACTCTTCGATGCCAATCTTCGATGCCTTCTTTGGCCATTGTAGCTCCGATCACAATGATTAACGGCACAACAATGCTTGGTCCCGAATACGGTGCCAACGGACTAAATGAAACGCAAGCAACGACGAGAAAGTATACATTTGCAACCCTCCTAAATTGCTCGAACAAGGACTTTGGGATAAAATTAGCTGCTGTATACTTGGTGGTGGAAACATAGTTTCCCCTGTAATTCAAACGAATTTGCTCTTGACTATCAGGTTCATTACAATACACCACTCTCGAGTACCCTTTCTGCCCGATCCTGGCATGTTCATCGGTCGTACTCGGTGGTCGACAACAGCACGAAAACGAGCAAAGTTTGCTTAAATGTATACTGCTTTTCCTTACTCTAGCCATGTCCAGAGCTTAAAATCCAAATGAGGAATCTCTAGTTTGTCTATACAATCACAAATTCAACCCAAATTACCCTCACAGTTATCAAAACTCATTAAAATCTTCCAAATTTCATTACATGGGAAACCAAAAATTCACCCTTTATATCACACTATGAACAATAAACACAAATAAAATCACCAAAACAGAAACGAAAAACAAACCCAATAACTCCAAAACTCCTATCTTTTAAAGTCCAACACAGAATGTACATGAACTATCATAGAAAAAACTATTAAAAAAGAACTCTACTTCCATACGTTAAATTTATAAAAAAACATGAAAAGATACTTAACTTCAACAATTTAAAACCACCCAACAAATGAAAAAAAAAACTTCTATTGTAGCATCAACGTGTTTTTCATTGAAAAAATAAGTTCCTTACTTTGAGTTGGAGTTCCGAAGATTTCTTACTTGTCTGAAAGGTGCAAACTTTAAAAGAAGTGTGAGAAAGACAACAAGGAAAATAAAAGTGAGGCGCTCGCTTTGCATTAGTGTGTGAGTAGTTAGCTTTTACCGCTGGTATAAGCAACAGCAAACCATGAAAAAATCATCGAATTTTTTTGAACATCTTCCATAGAATACTGTAACATATACCTTAAGTAAAAAATAATAATCACTCTAACGTCTTACATGAAAAAAATTATTTTTCTCAAAGCATTATCTTTATCAATTTTGCCAAAGTTATATAGTTTGAGTTAATTGTTTTTTTAATATTTTGAAATGGAAGTTTCATTTTAAATGTAAGCTCTATATTGCTTCTGAATTTTAAAATATTATTAAAAAATATTTTTAAAAAGTGTTCTTTTTTAAAAATGTTTAGAAAAAGTATGATCTAATTAAAAGTTTTTAGTGTTATTAAAATAAATTAAATAATATTTTGATATAAAATTTTCTAAAAATTAAAAGTGAAGAATTTTTTAATTTAATCTTCTTATTCCAAAAGTCATCAGTATTCTCTATTTTTTTAACTCTAAAAAGTAATAAATTTTTTTTATTCCTTTCACACATATAGAGGTACTTGATTTATGTTTATATTTTCATTTAAGATAAATTTGTTCACCAATTCAATGTCACACATTATAAATTACTATAGCTAGGTATTCAACATATTGTAATACATACATTATAAATTATATACACATTTGCTTTTAAAATTAACTTATATTATGTTTTCATTGTCACATAATAATCAATATAGAATAAATTAATTTAATAAGAATTATTTTTTTAATGTCAATTTAAGAATATAATAACGGATAAACAAAATTCGTGTTAGTTCAAAATAAAAATCTCTAAATTCATATTTTTATAATTGGCATTGTCTAAATCAACTGTAAATTCGTATATTCAACCTACGAAGCCATATGGAATGAATTATCATGTTAAACACATCGTATCTCTTGGGAGGATCATTCACCAAGAAATGCCTCTGTACTTCCTTAACGTTCTTCACCATCCTTGTATATTTTTCTTCAGATATTCCCATAAGAATGTTCTTCAAGTTCGCCATTTCGCTCATCGGAACTTCGACCGAAAACGAGTCCCAATTAAGAACATCACTGAAGGGAAGAACATAATTTTTTGATAGTATCACCGGAACACATTCGGCGTAGATCGATTCCACAATTCTCGGACTTGCAACTTCGTGCCCGCTCGGACATAAGCAAAATTTGCTGCTCTTCATCATTTCAGCATAGGAAAGCCCTTGTGGGAGTGTTCCGTATATTTGTATGTCTTTATCTTTTCCCTCCCAATGCTTAAATAGAATTGCCCTTATTTTTCCGTGGTATAAGTTGCCGGCAAAGAACGCTAAGATCGACCAATTCAATGGAGGCGAACTCGTCGTTAGATTCGTGATCTTCCCTGTTCTTAGGTTGATTTCTGGAAGTGATGCGTCTTTCTTCGGATTGAAATATTCTGAAATATTTGCATTGCATAGAACTCGGATGGAATTGTAGTATAGTTCTTTCACATAGCAGGTTGCCCTTGGCCCCTGTGAAACAGTAAAATAACATTAATTCGAACTGTAGCATTGAAAAAAAAATCGGATTCAGGTCGATTATCCAGCAATATTTACCCAATCATGGCAAGAGAGCATGAAATGATCGACTCCAATGCTTCGATTCCAATAAGGATACTTGTTCGATATGATCCGAACATAATCGACAACTGTCCGTTCCATCACAGCTTTGCTGCGGATAACAGGATCGAACAGGTGCTTGAGTATCATCACGACACTAAAAGGAAGAAAATAAACATGAGCTTCGTTAGGATCCCACGTTCGATACGTCATATCCTGTTCCATTAAGCTCAAGAACAGCCCTTCCGTGGAGTATATGTCCTTGCAAGATCCGTAGTGAAATAATGGCGGCTCCCCTTCTTCGTATACAAAAACCTTGAACATCTTTTCCATTAACATATAACTCCTGAAAAAAAAAATCGACGTCGTTTAACAAATGATAGTAAATTCAATGCATTGAAGTAATAATTTTATGTTGACTTCGTAAAGTGTTTTTTTCAGACAAGATTCCAAACCCTTAATTTTCCCGAGGTTTCATTAATGACTTCCTAATTTCCATGTTACAAGGCACATGGAAATCAACTACTTACAAACCATAGATTGAGATCTCGTGTCTTGGATAAATTTTATATTTGAAATAAAAAAATGAAAAAAAAAACTCGAATTCAATTACTGTAGAATGTAGATCACATTCTGATACAATGGACTAAAGGGTAGTACCGGTGAAATGCATGTCGGTTCCGGTAAATGTCGCCTTCCAAGTAGTCGGCATTGGAGTTTAACATGGCGTCTCGTATTGAAGCTCTAGCTCTAGCAAGACCAGCTTCGACCATCTCCATGCTTTCGTCCCGGGTCTTACCTCTTCTCGTAATGGATTCGTCGTCCGAAATCCTTTCTAGATGTATGAATTCTTTGGCCTCCTGCAAAAATAAACAACATCGAGGAATGAAATAAATGAATCTGAATCCGAGTCGATGGCGATTTCGAAGAGATGAAAATATACACTGGCAGGAAGGGGTGAAGTCCGGGTCCATGGAGATCGAAAATGAAGCCATGATAGTTCTTTTGAAACCTTGGATAGGAAAATGGGATAAGCAACAGCGACGGCTATCACTGCTAAAAGAAATAAGCTTGCGTAATGTTTTCTCATTTTCCCCCCCTCTCTAGAGTGATTGAAGAGTATAGGGACGATTTTATAATGTCGCCAATTAGTTTGGACCTATGAACTTTACAAATTGGCATATCATTCGACACTTTAGTGGAAAGGATGATCAATCCACTAAAGTTGAAAGCCCGATATTATAATTTTGAGCTCAGTTGAGAATATATGAAATCTTAATTTTAATCTTTGATCATAATATTAAATATATATAAAAAATAAGGTAGTGTTTGGTTGGATGGAATCCCTTGGAATTGGGATGAATTGGAATCCAATTCCACCACTTTCTCATGTTTGGTTCAAGTTTTCTAAGGGAATTGGAATCCTTCGTGACTTTAACTTTCCATCAAATAAGAAAAAAGTGAATTCCATCGAAGAATGAATGGAATTCAATTCCCTTGTTGGAGGGAATTGAAATTTGACCATACTACCCTCATCTATCTTTGGTAACTTATTTATATATTGAATACAAATATTTTTTATTATTTCGGGTCGGGTTTCTAATTCATATATTCGGGTCGGGTCAGGTGAAACTTTATTTTGGTCGGGTCGATTTTTTTAAGTGTGATATTCGGGTCGGGTCGAGTTCGGGTTTAGGGTGAAAAATACCCGACCCGAAAATATATATAATTTTACCTTATATATTTAGGAATAATTACAATAATACCCCTCTCTATATATATTTTTTCAATTAAGTCACTATTTTTATTGAATAAAAATATTTTTTTATTATTTTGGGTCGGGTCGGGTCGGATTTCTAATTCATATATTCGGGTCGGGTCGGGTGAAACTTTATTTTGTTCGGGTCGGGTTTTTTAAGTGGGATATTCGGGTCGGGTCGGGTTCGGGTTTAGGGTAAAAAAACCGGACCGACTTGAAAAAAATATATAATTTTACCTTATATATTTAAGAATAATTACAATAATACCCCTCTATATATAATTTTTTTCAATTAAATTAATGTTTTTATTGAATAATTTTTTTTATTATTTTGTGTTGTGTCGGGTCGGGTTTCTAATTCATATATTGAATAAAAATAGTTTTTTGGTATATTTTTTTGTAACTAATTAACATACTCCAATTAGAATGTATCGAAATATTGCTCTATCTTTTGGTAACTTATTAACATATGTTAATTGCGATGATTTTAACTTATGATGTTTATTAAAATGATTTTTATAATTTATTGAAATGAATAATCAATCAATCACATGAAAATTTAATATTTTTTAATTTTTTATAATATATTACTATATGTAAATTGTAAAACAAACTAAAATAAAAAAAAAAAAAAGAATGACAATTCTGTCATTTTACATTACTAAAATCAAATTCATTTGACATGTCTGTGAACCAAACAAAATATGAAATTAGATTCCAATTCCATTTCTTGCCAACCAAACAGAATATGTAATTGGATTCCAATTCCTAAGATATTTTAATTCTTCCCAGATTCCAATTCCCTCATAAACATTCCAGCGAACCAAACGCCACCTAAGGGTAAACTATATGGATGGTCCTTTATATTTACAGTCTAATTGATTTTGATTATCGGTTAAAAAATAAGTGGGTTTGGTCCCTTATGTTATCGATCTGTTCAATTTTAGTCATTGAACGTTAACTCTTGTTAACCCATTAACAGAAGTCTGAGTTTTCAATTAAAAAAAAAATCCACGTGTCTCATATGTCTCATTTTTCTTCTTCTTGTTTCGTTCTCCCCTCTGTCACTCACAACGTCTATTTGAGCATCAAACAGGTTAAAATACCTCAACTTGTTACCCGTATCTGCCACACCTGAGTTCTCTCTAAATAGAACGTAGTCTAACTAGATCACGTCAGTGTTGAACTCATAAGTGAAGAAAGGTAAACATTGACCATGAGGAAAGACCCAATGTTCTTGAGTACTACTAAAACTGTCATCTTTAGGTTCCTTTATCTTCTTATTTTTGAATCAATAATTTTTTTTCCAGGCATGAAGTTATTGGTGAGGTGGTGGAAGTTGGTTTCAATGTAACCAAATTTAGAGTTGGAGATGATGTTGGATGTTACAGAAGCCATGGTTTTTTTTTTTACGTATTTGATTTTTCATGGTTTATTTTTGGACATGTTTTAGATGTGAAGTCATGGTTGGTTAATTTTGATTTAGATTGACTAATTATGTAACAACCACATGCTGATGCGGGCGACCCGATCTGATCTGAGGTGTCACATTAGAGCTACTGGAGCGATCTACAGTAAAATTCTCGAAAATTTTTAAAATTTCTGCTAAAGCACGTAAAATCGTAAAACAACTTATATATTAAAAGTAGAATTTGACAACATCCAAAAATAAAAACAGATTTCAGACTCGGATATAAAAACAGAATACAACCTATATGCCCCCTAATCACATGCATCGTACTCCGCAAGTAACGCCGATGGAACTCTAATACTGATGTTGATAGTTGTACTAAATGAATTAACCTGATATGAAGAGTAAAAGAGTGAGCTTTGAGAAGCTCAGTAATACTGAACTACCAAGTGATGATGAAGGACATGCATATAATAGGCAAGCATAATTTTCCTTATTGATTTAGACATCTAAAGATTTTTGTGATGAGTTGAAGTCCCAATGATATTTCAGGTAGCAAAGGACAGGAAACTTACAGTTCAGAAGAAATGTTCGGAGAAACATGTTTAGTAGATCAGAACAGGGTGTCTAGTGTGTTCCCACAAAACCAGTGAAAATGTACACATCTTTTTTTTTTAAAACAATAACAGTTTAGAATGTATTTTTAAAACCATGGCAAAACCCTCCAACAGAACACCAATATACAGTTTCTCATAACTGCATCCATAAGGACTTACCCTAGGCCTATTGGGCATAGGTGTCAATCTAAGGGAACACCTTGGGTCCATAAGGTCTTACCCTAGCCGAAGCATAGGTGCCCACCTGAGAGGAGTGCCCTTAGGTTCATAAGGACTTACCCAAAGCACATAGTAGAGGTGTCACCCTAAGAGAGTTCCTTAAGGTCTATAAGGTCTTACCACTAGGCCCATTAAGCCTAGGAGCCCATCCAAGGGTCACTTTAGATCCGTAAGTAATTACCAGTTCGATCAGTCTGAATATATAAGGAATTATCAGTTTGATCGATCTGAACCTACCATAAGGAATTACAAGTTCGATCGGTCTGAACCTATATAAGGAATTACCAGTTTGATCGAGTTGAACCTACAAAGATTTCATACCAGATCCCGGAGTACCCTGAAGAAAAACATTTTTCATAAAGTAACCAGTGGTAGCAGGAAATTGGAGTTCAGACATATCAATTTAGTAGAAACGATATCCAAAGATCATGAATCAGACATGCAAACTTAAAACTTCAGTAAATCAGAAATCTCAGTAAAAAAACATTTCAGAACATATAAAACAATCATATAACACATATGGAACACACTAGATGATCCAGTTATTTTCCGAAGGTAATAGTATTTATCAGGTAGGGAACCATGAAACTTCTGTAAACTGATTAAATTCATAAATAAAATCCATATAAAAGGGTTTAATAGCTGACAGATTCATCAGTTATTCAGGACATGATTTATCAAGATCATATAATATTCGGATATTTTTCGGAGGCACTATGTAAACAGAAAGGTATTCATAATCCTTTGCATCAAAGTTACTTGTGATTTCAAATATGACATGAGTGATTCCATTATTCAGGAAATCAGAGACATTTGAGTGATTCCATTATTCAGGAAATCAAAGACATTTCAGATATTTTGGTTCTTGGATAATTTTCAGTAATTTAACTCAATAAGGGTAGAGCAAATATTTGTGGTATTCAAGATTATAAAAATTGAGTTATCAGGATTTCGAGTCCGATTGATCTACATTTCTCAATATTGCGATACTTGTCAATCATTTGAATCGCGATAACTCACAATTATTCACTTCTTATTACTAATCGCACTAGCTGATCTGATCAATATCATAATCATCTTTGATCAATTCTTGAGGAGATGAATATGTATTCCATTGGTATATATTTCATCTTCGCGTCGTAATAGTATCCAAAATGTCCGACAACTTGAGTCATGCTCCATAACCTTTAAAGACAATACAATCATTTAAGTTCATAGGTGTTCCCATAGTTTATCCATAGTCCTTTTTACACTTTAAGGGTATTATCGTCATTTCGTTCAATTCTGTCAATGGCATTATTTCCGATAAATTAGGCTTGAAGGTATTCTAGTTCCTTTGGAGTTTAGGATATTTTGGTCATTTGAACATTGAAGGTTATTTTTGTTATTTCATAGCTCGAGAACATTCGATAATTCTGATCAATCCAAATATATGCACCTTTTCGAATGTTAGGATCCGATTATTAGTGACTATCCAAGCAGATCGTGAAGTTAACAGATGAAATAATGATTTATCGAATTAAAAATACGAATTCTCATGGTACTTTCGCTCTCAGGTCAATCTAGACTTTTTTTACCCTATATGGGCAATTTCATAATTTATAATCAGGTAGTTTAATTATTAAAGTTTTTAACGAGGATAAATAAAATTTAGAAATTTCGAGGTTATTTTCTTTTCCGGATAATCGATGAACTTGAAATCATTCTTATCATTCTTCTTGTGTCTATGCATGTAGTCTGAGCCTTATTCAGTTAAATTTTATTTTATTTCGCAATTGGACCGAGTTTAGAATTTTTAATTACACACATGTAACCGTATTCAATCATGCATTTACCAAAACCAACATGTTTCATGCAACATATTGTCTTGGATACATAACAAAAGAATTTACGTCAGAAACTGAACTTAATCGAAAAATCAAATTGAATCAGAAAATAAAAAAATGGAAAAACGGCTTACCGAATGCAAATTTGGCAAAACAGACTTCAGATTCGGACTCAGTAAATCAAAAAACATAAAATAAGACTTTTCGATAAATTTGACTTTTTGTCAAAGTTAAAGTTAACAGGTCGGGTTGGGTTGA